CCCCCTCCCCCCGCGGCAGTCCACACTCCAGCCAGCACGACACAAAAATAAATGAATAATTAAAGTAAAATGAATATAAATATGAATGTATTCCGTCGTCTTAAAAATATATCAGCCGCGGGCGCGACAGTGGAGCACACCCCCCGCCGCCCCCGCGGCAGTCCACATTCCAGAGGACGGACAAATAGATAAACACATAAATAAATAGATAAATAATTAAATAGCTAGATAGATAAATAAATAAATAAATATAAAAAATTACAAACTTATTTTTTGTTACAGGAACACCTCTCCGACCGGTGGCCCTACGCGACATTCATACTCACGAACAATTATATCTCCGCCGCCTCGTCGGCTCGCGGGCCGGCCACACGGCGGCAAATCGCGCGCGGCGGCGAGACATCGGGAACGCCGCCATCGGCTCGGCGTGGAGGAGCCCTATACTGGCGGACGCCAGAGACGTGCTCCACGTAGATGTCCCTGGACCAGCGTATGGTGTCCGACACGATGAGCCTGCGCATCATGGATGCATACGTACTGCCGATACGCAGCAGCCTCAGCACAGGTTCATTGCGCGGATCCCAGGAGCCGAGCGCACCGACGACGAAGGCCGTCACGACGACACGGTACCCGAGTCGACCGAGCGCCTCCGCCAAGGGAGCGTATTTGGCGAGTTTACGCTCCCTAGCTTCCTCGAGCGCTATTGGCCGATTCTCGAATAGCACCGTGACATCGCATATGACGACACTCTTCGACGGCTCGTGCCTGATCACGAGATCAGGTCGTAGCACGCCGAGTTCCCCATCGATGCCCTCGACCCGCTGGTTCACGGTCACGTTCCCTGGCAGACGGCAAGCCCTGCTGAGTCGGAGCAGGATCGAATCGTGACGCCACTGGATCGCGGCGGAGTAGGCTCCGCAATGACAGACCACATGAGGAAGGGTCTCGGACTCCGCCTCGCATCGCCGGCAATGTCTATCACTCTCTCCCCACCGACGTTCAACGGCAACACGTCGAGACGAGCATGGTGGATAAAACGCCAATCAGCGAAGCGGGTGAAACTGCTGCCCCGCATAAAGTGATTGCTCACTCGATGACGAGACGACACCTCGAATACCTTCCCCTGGTCTGGTTTCCGCGACAAGGTGGTATCATACCACTCCGCCACCGCAGCACGCAGGCGTCCGATCACCTGGGCACGAGCCCCAGGTGGGATCTTGGTGATCCTACCCCGCGGACCGCAACATTGAAGGACGAGCTCGCGGCGCTCCTCACTCCACAGCCACCGGATGGCGCAGCGATCCGACTGATGACGCGCGGCGTTCCGCGCTCTCGACCACAGGGAGCGCTCCCCTCCCCCCTCAGCCTCCCCTCGAGTGACCCCGAGAGAAAGGCGGCGATCTGGTCGCAACCAGGGGGGTGGCCGATGCGGCGTGCAACCACTTCCCGCAGAGATGCCCAAGCCAGGTCCCTGACCGCGCGGTCGTCCGCCGTCAAAAGATGGAAGACGTGCGCGACCGAGAGGACGTCGGCGAGGTCAGCTAGAGGAAGTAGCCCACATCCTCCCTTGCGAGGGGGCATGTAAACCACTTCGGCGCTCGCTCTCTGCGGGAGGTTGAGCCACATTTTACAGGACCTGCGGATCTGTAGATCGAGCTCCTTGAGGGGGCCCTTCTCCACTGCTGCTCCCCGCAGCAAAAAGTCGAGCCGCGGCAACAAAAAAGTCGCCACGGTCTCAGTCTTCTGCCACGGGGCGAGGAGGGAACGGTCGACCGACGCCAAGTCGTCACGTATCACCCTAATGGCAGCATGCGGAGTCTGGTTGACCCCGAAGCCCATCGGTATGCCGAGGTGCTCATAGACCTCGCCCTCGGCCATTGCACGGACCGGTTGGCCCTGGATCCGGAGGGTCGTCGGTCGGACCCTGCCCGCTCCGCCTGCACCGATGTGCAGGGTGGCGCATTTGGTAGGGTTGAACCGCAACCCGACGATGCCTCGTTCACCGCGACTGCGAGCAATCGTTCCACTTCGTCGGGCGTCCTGGAGACCAGTACCAGGTCAACTGCATAGGCCATTACTGACCACCGCGAGTCCAAGGGCTCGACCCCGAGACCGACAACCGTGACTGCACGCAGCACCGAGTCGATCGCAAGGTCGAACACGATCGGACTCAGCGGGTATCCCTGGCGTACGCCCGAACGAATCTAGATGAGCGCAGTGAAGCCGTCGGCGGTTCGCACCCACGTGGTGCAACCATCGTACAGCGAGCCCCATACAGCGATGAGGCCCGCTGGCGCGCCCGCGCGAATCAGTGCGCGGCGGATCGCCCCGTGGGGAACCGATCCAAACGCGTTGGAAAGGTCCAGCCACGCGACTACCACCTCTCTGCGGCTCCTCCGGGCATCAGTCAGGATCTCCTGCAGGACGAAGTTGTGCTCAAAGCACCCCTCGTCCCTTAGGAATTCTTCTGAGCCGGACTGAACTTCCCGCCGACCACGCACCACTCGGTAATGCGATCGGCCAACACGGCGGCGAAGAGTTTGGGCAGGGTGTCCCCCAACGCGAGAGGGCGCCAGTTATTAATATTACCGCGGTCACCTTTCTTATACACCAATACCGTGTTGGAGGTCTTCCAGACGGCAGGAACCGCCTCGAGCCGCAAACATGCGTTGAAGAGGGCGACGAGCAGCCGCGCCGATGGATCCGCTGTACGGAGGTCCTTGTAGGTTATGCCGTCGGGACCCGGCGCAGAGTTATTCATACGCCGGAGTCGACAACACACCTCTCACTCCGTGAACGGCTCCATCAGCGCCGCCGCACCGCCGTCCCCGCCCGGGGCGTCGGCTCGCTCTGCAGGCTCGGCACCCCGCAGGTCGTCCCCTCCGCGATACAGCTCTTCGAAGTGCGCCTGTACTACGTCTGTCGGCAAATCGCAGACCTCCGCGGGACCGGCTAACACTTCTCGAACTGTCCTGCGTCGGTTCCTCCTGAAGAGCGCCTGTATTCGCGCTGCTTCGCGAGTCCTGTTCCGACCGTCTTCTCCGAAAAAATCGGGGACATTGGCCGGTGCCAATTCCCCCTGACGGCCACCCTCTCGCTCGTCCCTCTCCCCTCGCCGCTCCTCGTCGGCCTCACGCAACCGGCGTGGCGGCGGCCGACGAGCGCGCGGCGCGCCACGCCCTGGCCCGCCTTCCCCGAAGAACCCGGCGACCTGGATCGCCAGATCCTCAAGTTCGGCGAGCGTCGCCACGGAATCCGCCGCGTCGACGAGCCGCGTCCTCTCAACGGCGAGCTGACGCCCCGTCCGTCTCTCAACGTCCGGAGCGGCATCCCGCGCGTCTCGAGGACCACGCGCCGCCATCGGCGGGTTCCGCGGCGCCCTAGCGAGTCGCGTCGCGCCGCCGCCCGCGCGGGAACCCGGAGCCGCAGTCGCCCGAATCGCATCCGGACGCGCGTCGACGGACGCGAGTGCTCCCCGCCGACCCATCACGCCGCGGACTCCACGCGGGCTGGACACGTCTCCGGCGCTTCCCTCGCCAGCATCTCGCGCGCGTGTCTCCTCCACCCTTCGAACCGGCGGCGTCCCTTCGCCTCGCGCCGCACCCGCCCCCGCGAGCGGGGGAAAATTCGCCTCCGTGAGGGGCGGCGGTTCGAGTGCCGCCCGGGAAGTCGCGCTCATGGCCTCTTCATCCGACGAGCGTACGCGCGCGCGGCGCGCCCTTCGCCGCGCGGACTTCGGGGTGGCGACCGTCCACGGGCCGCCACCGTCGGCACCCTCCTCGTCGTCGCCGTCCCTGCCACCCTCGTCCTCCGTGTAAAGAGCGGCCGGCCTCAGCGAGGCCCCCGCCCTGCGCAGCCGTAGGGTCATTCTTCTCGGAGGGGGGCTGCTGCTCTTCTTCCTCTCTCCTCCTCCCTCCGGTGGGCTGGTGGTCGTCCCTGGTGTCCTTTGCTGCTCATCGGCCGCCGCTGGGGACGTCTCCACCGGCTGGACGCGGGGCCGAGGGGGCGAGGAAATAACGCCCCGTGCACCCGCGCCCGGGAGCCCGGTTGACATGATCGGACTCCCCGCCGTGGAGACTGTGGTGGTAGCGGTAGTGAGGGTCGCCACCGTCCTTGAAGCGGGCGTGCATGGCGTTTGAATGCCAGCCAGGCCCCCCGAGGATGCTCCGCAGGTGGTCGGCGGAGTCCCCCCGGGGGACCTTGCGCTCGAGAACGGACCGCCGCCCGCCGAGGATGGTGACTTTCTTGTCGGAGCAGCAGTCGTCTCGGCGTTGCACGCCCGCCGGGTCGGCTCCACGGAGCTACGCCTGGGAGTCCTCCAATTGGCGAAACTGGTCGAATCGACCGACCAATCGTGATGCAGTATTCATTTATTTGAAGTTTCGCAGTTTGAAGTACGAAGAATATTCGTACTTTCAAACTTTGTGGAAAAATACAAATACATGATTCAGTATTAAGTTCATATTATATTCGTTTCTATTTGACGATGTAAATTTATTGACATTTGATGCTTGCATCACGTTTACGTGTTGTAAAGTTTGTATCAGCGGAATTTCTACATTTTTCGTAACAAACGAATGTCAATGCATCGAGCACTAATCAGTTTCGCAGAACATATCATAAAATCTATTTTTTCCAGGTCTATTTCATGTACTAAAAGTATGGAAAATTCTGAAATCAAACGAAGAAGATAAGAAACTTACTAGAAAGTACAGGTAGTGCAGTTGTAAAGAGCAGATCAATGGGCGTCGAACCAGTTGACTTAATTTTACGAATACATTCGCAAAATTAGCTCGCGATTGGATTGTCAAGTTTCAAGTCACCTGAAGAGCTATTCAATAAAGTCGAAATTGAATAAAATTCAATAAAATCGCAAGAATTTTGACCAACGAAATTCTTCGACGGAATTTCCGCTTTTTTATGACACACAACTTGCAAGACACCCGGTATATGACGTCGGAAACACTCGACGAACTCATCCGATCGGGTACGAGATTCGCTTCGTTTTGCTTCGCTTCGCATAGTACATCAGAAAACATGGCTCCCGAATGAAGGACGCTATACGCGAGTCTGCCAGATCTTATCTCTTTTACATACACGCGCTTATTTGATAATCGCTTAGACCGTAGATTCACGCAGAATGAGCAATCTATCTCCTTTCGGCAGCAAGAACCCACCGTGGGTCCGCAATGCAGGTGAGTAATGCACTTTTCGCGCGAACAATGCTCGACGGACGAAACTTCGTTGTGGTTGGTCGTGATCGTTGTCGCCGTTGTCGTCGTCGTCTCGTGTGCAGCGCGCGTTAGATGATGTTGTGAAATTCTCCTCTGCAGCTGATCTCCGCGCGAATCAACGGGCACTTATGCGTACGAGACGATACTACATTGTCCGATGAGCATATCCCATTATGCAAACCGCATATTCGTTCATGCCACACGATATTTTGCTCGTGATCACAATTTATCCTGGTTGCCCGATGACCCTTAAGATACCGCTGTCACTCAAACGAATGCGATATCTGGAGGAATTATTGTTAGTTTTTGTTTTCCGATGTTTTCCAGTATTTTCGTGTGTCAACAGTTGGATCTTGCAAAATTTTAGTTTTCATTTTTGGTGACTTGGGCTTCCAGAACAGTTTATTTCATAACATTGAAGTTTTGTGCAATTACGAACCAACATAGTGTTCAAAATTGTTATTAGTTTTTTAATTTGATATTTTCTTATATGGTATCAATACTTATTATGTGGCAACATAAGCAATATTTAAACTGGGTGAAAATTTTTGATCATGTTTGTGGAAGGACAAGGTATACAAAATATCCAGCAGCCAATGCTTGGACAAGCCATGGGCAGTATCGGAGGACAACCTATGGTGCAATATCAACAGCAAACCCAACAGGTCTATCAACAAAGTCTAGGACTGCAGCAGGTAAATTTGATAGATCAATATTTCCATGTAACTGATGATAAAATTAATTGCTTGTAATGGAATTAATTTGAATTGATTTTTGCATTTCCTGTAGCCCAACATCACTATGGCATCAATGGCTACCCTTGGCTCAAATTTACCATCTGGTATGCCTGGTCAGCTATACCCACAAGTTGCAACAGTTTCTTATCCAACGCCGCGAGCATTGAACACAAATGCTTTTCAACCTTCCGTAGCCGGTGTCCCGCAGCAGGTGCAACAAAATGTATCCTCATCATCTACAAAACAGAGAGTTTTCACAGGCACGGTTACCAGAGTACACGATAATTTTGGCTTTGTGGATGAAGATGTATTTTTCCAAACTAGGTAAATATGGCTAAGTTGTTTGTTATTTATCTTTTTGTGCTCTTTGCTGAATGTCTTTTTTTTCTTTTTTTCTTTCCAGTGCATGTGTGAAAGGTTCTAATCCTGTGGTGGGAGATCGTGTACTCGTGGAGGCGTCGTACAATCCTTCAATGCCGTTTAAATGGATTGCCACTAGGATACAAGTGCTCGCTATGGGCAATAACAGCAACACTGCAAATACCCAACAAACTAATCAACCGAATCGTCAACAACAGCAACCACAGCAGCAGCCGAATAAGACGTCGGGCACTTACAACGCCGTACCTCCACCTACTGAAAATCCTAATAATAATAGGTAAAATGATTTGACATGCCTATTTATATAAATTTATATAAACCATATCATAATGCACATACTGCGCAATATAAATAAAGACTAGTAGCGCTAGTAAACAAGTATATAGGGTGCACGATTTATCTGAAGACATTGAAATATCTCGAGAACTATGCATTGGATAAAAAAAAGTGATTAATGAAAGTTGTTAGTCTCGAAGGGGGACATCCAATGATACCAAACTCGACCTCCCATCCCACCCCCTAGGGGTGGGGGTTGGGGGCAACTTTGAAATTTTAAATGGAAATCTCCATTTTTTTTTATTGCAGATACGGATTCTAGGCCACAAAATACGTAAATTTTGTCCGAAACTTTTTTTTTTATTCGTGATAGATGGCGCTGTAATCGCAAAAAATTATATTTTCCGCAATTCTCCAGAAATGATCATTGGATTGAGAAATAAAAAATACCTGTTCAATATTTCTAAAGAACATAATAAAAGTTATTCCTTCCCCCATCCTCTCGGGGTAGAGTGGGTGATAACGTTCAAATCTCAAATGGGGACCCACATTTTTCATTGCAGAATTAGATTGTACCTGAAATTTTTATTGAAACAATTTTTTTCATTCGTGATAGATAGCGTTGAATTTTTCCGAAAAACTACTTTTAGCGTTACACAGGAACAACGACGAGGACGTAGTAGTTTTATGTTCCCTTCGGGTGCTTTTTTAATGTGAGTCCCCTTGCCTCTCACTGTTCAATTAATTAGAGTAAGTGTTCGAAATTTTTACCTTCAACTTCAATACACTTATTGATCCTTTTTTCAAATGACTGTACACAGGATAGAAGCATATCTGCGGGAGTTTCAGCGCAAGCGTTTCTTATGAGTTCTACCATGTTTTCACGAGTTGTTGGCACTTGTTGATTTAAAAATATTGAACAGGTATTTTTTATTTCTCAATCCAATGATCATTTCTGGAGAATTGCGGAAAATATAATTTTTTACGATTACAGCGCCATCTATCACGAATCAAAAAAAAAGTTTCGGACAAAATTTACGTATTTTGTGGCGTAGAATCCGTAACTGCAATAAAAAATGGGGGTTTTCATTTAAGATTTCAAAGTTGCCCCCAACCCCCATCCCCAGGGGGTGGGGTGGGAGGTCGAGTTTGGTATCATTGGATGTCCCCCTTCGAGACTAACAACTTTCATTAACCACTTTTTTTTATCCAATGCATAGTTCTCGAGATATTTCAATGTCTTCAGATAAATCGTGCACCCTGTATAGCTAATATTGATTTACGAGGTAGTTCGGTTTCCCATAACGAAATTGTTAAATTTACGAGCTAAAATATCCTAAAAATCCATCTACAAATTTTTCTTTGATGTTATATCATCTATATCTATATTTTAGCAACGCACGTACTACGCTATGCAACATTTTATTAATATTAGGTTGAATTATCAGTAGGTTTACGACAAGTACAACAAATTCCAACGCCACTAGCAACCGTACCAAAGTCGGTAGAGTGCGCGAAAGATCTCCTCGCGAGCGAAGAAACGACGATGAAGAGATCGAGAGGAAGCGACGTCGCGAAGAGAGAATCAGAGAACGCGAGAAGAAGGAAGACCGAAGTCCGTCGAGAACGCGAAGAAGCAAATCGCCCAGACCACGTCGGCGCACGAGAGTCGTACCGCGTTATATGGTGCAAATACCGAAAATAGCACTCGATTTGTAAGTGTGCAACTTGTTCATCTCCCGTCAACGAGACGTAACTGATTCGCGATGTTTTATTGCTGCTTATTATATCACAGGCCTGAAGCAGATGTTCTTGAGATTAGAAGACGCTATCAAAATATGTACATTCCTAGCGACTTCTTTTCCACTAACTTCAGATGGGTCGATGCCTTTCCGCCGCATATGCCATTTACACTTAATAAACCATGCTCCTTCCATGTTATGCATAAAGATGTCGATCCCTATAATGAAAATACAGCAGTACTAGAACCCTCGGATGCTGATTATCTATTCTCTGCAAAGGTCTGTTAAAAGTTGTTGTGTTGCTATCGTGAATTATGAGAGAAGAGAGAAGCGAGGTGTAAAATTTCAGAGAGAAAGAGAGAGAAAGAGCTAGCGTGCCAACATTATTCGTAGCGCAAAAGAGGAATTGGCACACACACACACATACACTTACGTATTTGCATATTTCTCGTGAATGACGAGATGACTTCATTGAATATTTCTTAATTACTTTTTAGGTCATGCTCATATCTATGCCTGCCATGGAAGAAATATACAAAAGATGTTGTGGCGTTTCCGAAGACAGAGATCCTGATCGCGATTATGTTCATCCCACGCGCCTTATAAATTTCTTGGTAGGCTTACGGGGCAAAAATGAGACGATGGCCATAGGTGGCCCGTGGAGTCCCTCTTTAGATGGACCTAATCCTGAAAAGGATCCCTCTGTATTGATTCGGACAGCCGTGAGGACCTGCAAAGCGCTTACCGGCATAGATTTGTCCAGCTGCACACAGTGGTACGCTTTTTCAAGTAGTAATACTTTTCGTTGAATGTAATATCAGGAGCACTTTTATAGGTAGTTTTTCTGAAGCCCCGATCTGTTTTAGGAAAGAAAGAAAGCAATGTGATATCACTAAAATTTTTCCGCTCGTTCAGTATTGCACATCTTGCATCTCTGACGATATCGTTTTTGCGAACGACGTAGCGAAGGTCACAATTGCCGTACTCTTTATTTTTTTTTAAATTCCATCTTTTTTTATCTAGTCTAGGGTTACAGTTTCTAGAATTGTCCGTCTCCTACGACGTAAAGACAAGTTGTTAAAAGAGAAAGAGAGAGAGAGAAAGAGGGAGAAAGAGAGATCATGATAGAACTACGGTGCTAAGTTCCATAAAGTTAAGGTACATCCGGTAGGCGTGCGCTATATACCAATCTCGACGGAGCAAAACTTCTAATTATCAGTTCTGACTTGATAAGCTAAGGTTGTAGCTCAGTCTCTCGGCAGTGGAGGGAGGAGGAGGTATGTATTTGCTCTAAACATGAGCGACCGGCGGAGATTGCTGCACTGGATTCCGGTCTCGAGCACACCCCCCGACGACGATATACGGGCAGTCGCGGCAGACAAACCATCACTATTATTGTTCTATCATATGATTGTGACCCACTCAGTTGTGCTTACTCAAATGGTCTCTACATTGTGCGCTGATACACGTGGCTTTGTATGCAGTGCGTGGGCTTTTCGAACAAGCGAGCGAACACACTTAGCATATAAGGCAAAGCTAAGCGGCATCTAACCTTGAGTTGACGTTTGGGTATTGTTTTTCCTTGCGGCACAGGTACCGCTTCCTGGAACTCTACTACAGACGCGCAGAAACGACCCACAAGTCCGGGCGAGTGGTACCGTCTCGCGTTGAAACCGTCATACTATTTCTCCCAGATGTTTGGAGCTGTGTGCCTACCAGATTGGAATGGGACGGGCTGCAACTCAGCTATAAGAGACAACTGGAACGAAAGTTACTGCGTGCTGCCTCTAACTCCGACGATTTGGATGCCGCCAATGAGACTGATGAGGCTGCCGTCGCTGATCAAAAGGCACTGCCAATCACCATCCCATATATATATTACTTTTATATCTTTTTATTACATTATTATTATTATTATTATTATTATTATTATATATTCGTGCCCACTGTTTCTCCATTACTAAACTGGATTTTCAATAGGCTATACTTGTCCATCGATCCTACCAGTAGGTTGATCTATCGGATACTGTATCTCGCCTTCATTACCTCTTATGCGACAGATCGCTCTCGCCGTCCGTCGGTTTAAAAAAAAAGATTCGCTGTCTAGGTGCGTTAGGTACATTAACGGATACGGTTGCGTCGTTAAGCAACAATCATTACCCTGAGAACGAACGATTACACTCGGATATCATTGGTGGGCGACTCAATGACTTATTTGACTTTTTCCGTAAATTAAGGTGACACTTATTTTATGGAACAAGTCGTTTTTTCTCTCGATGTTACAAGCAACGTGGTCCCAAAGCATCATGTATAACTTTTAATAAGGCAAAGTCCGAATGTACATACTTCGTAACTTATATATAAGTCCTCTTACTTTACTACTCTCTATATGTAAGTTAACAAGAACTCTTAAACGCTTATTTAATGTCGCAAACGAGGATCGACGGGTAATGTATCGCTCCCCTAGCCAATGGCAGTCGCATTGCATTAACAAGAGAAGCAAGCAAGCCTAGCTCGGAGCAAGAGCGCAGCTGAGCCATTCCCTTTCCTGAAAACCTTCACCAACATTGAGAAATCATTCAAAAATCCTCATTTTTAATCATCGTTATATACTACAACATTATTGATATTATCCATGACCTATCGATCACACAGACACCAGAGCCAGGACACTATGAGATTCTAGCAGTTACTTGAGTCATACTTGACGGTCATCGTGAATGAAGATATGTGTACATCGTTACGATGTGAGAGAGTGTTGAAAAAAGTAGAGAGTGATGAAAGAATGAAGGAGGGAGTGGTTTCGTTTCGTTATAGGGGCTGCTTCTGTTTTTGTAGTTTTCTCTATCACTTTTTTACTTCCGCCTCATTGACATGTTCTTTCTTCTTTCAGGATGACTCCATGGCCGAGAAGAAGGATCCTACTCACTATTCCGAACTAGATCCAAAATCGATGAATGTAAGTATCTCTCAACGCGTTTATTTCTTTCAATGAAAAACTGACTCTCTTCTTGATCAATGTGAAAGTGGGACATTTTGAAACTATATTTCTTTCTTCAGATATAAATCCATTCAATATGTTTTGCATCGCAGGTGAACGATTTGCGTCAAGAACTGGTGGCTCGCAATTTGAGCTCGAAAGGCCTGAAATCACAATTACTAGCGAGACTTTTAAAGGCTATAAAGTCGGAGCAAGCCAAAGAGGAGGGTCGACAAGACGAGGCGGACGAAAATGAAGAAGACATCTCGCCGCCAGGGAAGGAAGAGGACGATAAGAAGTTTCGAGAAAATAAAGACGTAAGTAGCGCAGTATGTGCGCAAAGCTCAAGTATTGTTAAAATTTACCTACTTTACGTATGTCATGCGAGTAGCAATTATGAAATTTGTATTTGAATATTTTGTACAACGCTTTGATGCATGTTGACTCATCGTCAAATTGTTTGCAGCATGATGAAGACAAGAGGAAACTTTACGAACGCGAACGCGCCGTGCTCGAGAAGAGATACACTTTGCCCGATTCATCGCACATTGTTGTTCATCCTTCTAGAATGGCCAAGAGTGGAAAATTCGACTGCACAGTTATGTCTTTGAGTGTATTGTTGGACTACAGACCAGAAGATACCAAGGTTTGTTTTAGAAATCATATTATTCTAGCCTATTCACTCTTTTATTCAAGGAGAGAAGATACTATGTATATTTTTTGCCAACAGGAACATTCTTTCGAAGTATCTCTTTTTGCTGAATTGTTTAACGAAATGTTGACACGAGATTTCGGTTTCCGCATATATCGTGCGTTATGCAATCTCCCTGAAAAATCCAAGGAAAAAGACGAAGACAAGAAGAAAGATAAAAAAGATGATAAGAGAGATGAGAAGAAGGACGATAAGAGGAAAGAAGACGAGAAGAAATCCAGTAAGAAAGATGAGAAGCGGGATGACAAGAAGAGAGAAGAGCTCAAGGATAAGAAAGATGATAAGGACGCGAAAAATAAAATAGATGACAAGGATAGAGAAAAGGAAAAGAACGACGATGACGAGGAAGATGAAGACGACGAATCGGACGTAAGAATTTGTTCCTCTTACCTTCTTTTCTACCTTCTACTCTTCTTTTCGTATGGAAATATTTTCTTCAGCATCACGTGATATTTTTTTACGCTAGATATCAGTCAATGTTATTACACGTATTATATATTTAAGTTTATGTATAATATATATATATATATACAAAAATTTTAATTACGATTTAGGACGATGATTCTATGAAAGATGGTAAAAAGGACAGAGACAAAGATGGGAAAAAGAGAAAAACTAAACTGTACACGCATGATCCTTACCTTCTGTTATCATTTGTATATTTCGATCAAACACATTGCGGATATATATTTGATAAGGACATCGAAGAACTTATTTATACTCTGGGATTGAATTTGTCAAGAGCTCAGGTGCGAAAGTTAGTACAAAAAGTTGTTACGAGAGACTCTTTGCATTATCGCAAGTTAACAGACAAGTCGAAGGAAGATGATTCGAAAGATGAGAAGAAGGACGACAAAGAAGGAGATAGAAGTGAAACAGCCAAAACAGAGAGTGAGGAAGATATATTACGTTCCCTTGCTCTCGGTACTGTATTTTCACTCATTTGCTTTTAATATTGATCAAAACTATCTATTGTCCCATAAACATGCGTTTAAAAACGACTAATTTGATTCTTCTATTTCTTTTACCTTCTTACGTATATAAAACAGATATTCATTGTATTTTTTGTTTACAGGAAACAAAAAGTTATTACCTGTATTTGTTGGAAGTGGACCGGTTTCGAAGAGAGCACGTAGGGATGATTGCGTCTTAGAAAAAAACGACGAGGAAAATACTCCGGAAGGCATTGTTATGTACAAAGGCTCTTTACTAGATGTAGAGAAACTCGTGAGTCAATTGCAAAGATCTGAGAAAGCGCGTTTAGACACCGAGGACCGTATGATGGAACTACAGCACGAGCTAAATGTAGTGAATGAGAAATCTACGAAACAAACTAATAATATTAAAGGTCTTACAGAGGATTTAAAGATATACAAAGATAAATTGCGAGGCACGGAAGAAAAGTTCAAAAAAGTCTCGGTAAGTACGCCAGCACTATCGTGCACTTATTTTATAGAGAACAAACATAAAATTATTTCTCGGTATATATATTTTTTTCTACAGACTGAATGCCATACTTACTTGACTGCGGTGAAAAACATGTATCATATAGCGGCGAAGATGATGCAGGGCGACGCGAGGAAGGTAGAAGTTGTAGAAATTCAAGATGAGAAAATCAGTGGAGAAATAAACGGCTCTGAATTGGAGAGCAAATTTAAAACTGACAGCAGGTGGGGAGACAACAAGATCCAAGTGAAAAAGGAACCAGCGGAAATAGAAAAGGATAAGAAATCTGACAATAAAGTTTCTGTCAAGAAGGAGACCGCCGAAGCAGACAAAGAAAAGAAATAGATAGCATTATCTATTCATTATAGTATAGCGGATACGCACCGACGTAAGATTTTAATCTTGGTTTCCTTTCTTTTTTTTTCACATTCGCACATATGCGTGTGCGTACGCGTTCTTAGTGATTAAAAGTTTTAAAATAAAAGGAGGAAAAAATTAATCAATCAGACAAAATCAGTAAAAGATTTAACCGACACGAAAGTAAGTAAGCAAGACTCCATTTTGTAACTTTTTTCACTCAGTGATAACGTGTGATCGTTGCATCTTTGATTAGTAATAAGAATTTAGCACTTTTGAAACCATGCTTAGGCAAGTAACTAGTAACAGTTCACGTCATTGTTAAAGTGTCTCCCTAAGTTGCAGTTTTTCGTGTCACTTGTCGAATTTTTCAATCACAATAACCTTCGACGTACCATCAATCTGCCATTAAGTGCCAGATATTGATAAACTGGTGTTTATCATTACTAGTAGGTTCGGAAATATGTTAACATCGCTTAAAGTTGAGAATTTTTACAAAAAATACAAGCAGCATGAAATATCATTGCGTCGTCGTCATTACGCGAATAATTTCTGGAAAAAAAAGATTGTTTTGCATATAAGAACAATTTTCAATGCTGCTTTGCGTGCTTTAAATATAAGTTATAATTAATATTATATTATTCACTATAAAATTACATTTTTGTTATATCGAGTCCAGTCGTTGTTCTTCAGTAAGTTCTTTAACTAAGTATATGTTTGTTTCGATGAAAATTGTTGAAGACCGATAGTTTTAGTTGATCTTATAAGATGCATAATTTGCGCAGTGAACATGTAACGCAATAAATGTGATGCCAATGATGAAGTTACATTAATATTGCTTTCAAGGATATCTGTATCGTATTTTTCTTTTTTTTTTTTAATCGAAGTTTGCATATCTCGAAAATTTTTCAAATTGCTAACGATTTCATGATATATGAACGATACGAATATTAATTATGAATATACATTATAATGAATATACATTACAGGTAATGCAGCACGAAGTGTCTGTAAACTATTTCTTAAACATGTTTAACCACAGATTGAATATACGTATGAAATGAAAAAAAGAAGAATTTATATTGAAATCAGTCACACACTAAGATTGAACGAAGTTCTCCATTGAGAATAAGAAATTTATATTGTCAAAGAACAGCAATAAGGTCGTTTCTTTCCCTTAAATACGCGTTAGACACTCGGAGAAAGATGTACAGTTTTAAAATAATACAAGCCCGAATATTTCTTTTTTTGTAGTCTAATCTAATGAAAGTGCGATGAAATCACGGTATCCTTTAAGTGAACCGTATCGCTCATTGTACGTATGTTCATCGCGAGTGTCATAGAAACACCTATTCAAAAGTGAATTACTACAAAACCGTGTTCTCAAACGTGAGATCGTGGCGTGATCACGCGTTCCATTACCCAAACTTGCAACCCACGATGCCAAGGATACTATTTTGTATATAGTTATCTATTATATGTAGAAATTTTTGTAGTTTGTTAATAGAAGATCGCGTTTTCTTGTAAAAAAAAAAAGAGATATGCAGAAGGGAAAATAGTATGATAATGATAGTAAGAAAATAAGATCATAAAAATGCGCAATCGATTTCAACTTTGTGTACGCCGGCGTTATACGCGTTATTCTCTTGGAAATTGTAATTATCTTTATGAGCAGATGGTAGTCAAAAGTACAAGAATAACAATAAACATTGTTTAGCCAGTACCCGTAATGTGCGTGTGTGTGTGTGTGTGTGTGTATGTGTATGTGTATGTGTATACGTGCGTGTTACAATATAAACCCGTAATTGCGATTTTTGTTTACTTTTGAGCAAATTGATTTTATTTTCACGTGACAACAATCACAGACTCCACTCGTATGTATTTTTAAAACTTGTCGCGCGATTTTGTATCTAAAGCCAGCGAGCATCTACTAATTCGTGCAGTTGAACGAAGTATTATTACTTACGCGATGGAATCTATGATGAATATGAAGCTGAAACTTCTGATTGTCCATCGTACTTTATTCGTAATATATACGCGAAAAAATAGATTACAATTTATACAGAAAATCTTTGCGGAAATGCATAGAATTGTACTCATTTTGTTCCTTTATTGTCTCACGTTGCGTGAAAGAAAATGCTAATTTAAATTCTCTGAGCAATATCAGGAATGCACACAGTGAGCCAGAATAGAGTAAAAATAGGATCAAATTAAAGAAAAAAAGGCCAGTTTCATTTTCCTAACGTCATTCACAGTTCCTTGAGACCCACAAGTATGGATATTTAAATATGGAGACTTATTTAATGGAATTGTCTTATAAAACTACAGAAATCCTGAGAAGAGATCTCTACACAGAGAGGGATGAGAGATCGTTAAAAGTTGTACCTCTTAAAAAATATATTGAGCATATGAAAATTATTTTTATTTGAAGAAAATACTCGATATTTGTATGTCAATATTTACACGATACAGAGAGAAAGCGTTTATCGAGAGAAGAGAGAGTTTTATTTTTAATCAATTTTGGCGCACCGTGCGGCGAAAGAGAAGGGAGCGAATCAATGTCATGGACATTTCTCTCCCATTTTCGCGAGGAACTCCGTGTTATCATGAATAATTTTCTCAAGGCGCTCCCTCGTTGCCTGCGTCTGTCTCAGCTCCAGCTTTCGCTTAGCGGACTCTATTGCAGTGCGATATCCGGTAACATTGCGAAAAATCTTGATGTGTTTATCACCCGAAACTAACAGATATTCCCCCGCAGCTTCGAATGCCAAGCACGTTATAGGCCCTGCGACAGTATCGAAGAAACAAGCATAAAATCGCACTCGCGCGATACTTATCGTCGATAATGTCCACGTAATTACCGAGGAACAGGTCGTCTATGGTGTTATCCAAGGCGCCAGTGATGGTTGAGTAGAACGAAATGGAGGATCCATGCGCGATCACCAGAACCTCCCCGTTCGGAGACAAAACGAGGCTCGCCGGAGTCGTGGTGTCCCAGTTTCCGGTCGTTAATAAATGCGGGTCCTCTCCCTTCTCGAACTCGACTGCAAAGAACGACGAGTGCGTCGCGTGAGAATCTCGTCAAACATCGCTTACCAGACCTGGCTGGTATCTTGTCGATGCTTTGTTGATGCTCATGCGTGTACGTTACTTTTTGTATTGTAGAAGCGATACGTCCCGTCCTTAGACACAGTGGCCATTTGACTGGTATCGGCGCTGAAGCCGAAGTCGTGAACTCCAGACGTGTGCCCGGCGAGGTCGAAGGCTTTCGCCACGTGCTTGAAGTCACTTTGTTTGAACACCACCTCGAACACATTCACGTCCGGCGTAAAGCCTTTCACAAGGATGATTCTATTAATTCTTCACGTTGTCTTTATTGTAACTTACATATAACAATTCCATTTTCTACCCTTCTAATGGTCTTAGCGACTTAAGATAAAAATTTTAATAAATTGAATTCTCGTCTTTAGAATTTCATTTTACTCCCTTTTGTTCCACGTTCAACTCGTCAATAGCAAGTGATATGCATGGCTCACCAGAAGCGACGACGAATCGGCCGCAGGGTGATATACGAGCGCGATGAGTCGACCCTAGATGTAGCTCGACGGTCGCCAACGGCTGACCTTTCAGGTCCCATACGATGAGGTCGTTCATTTTACTGCACGTGATGATGTATTTGCCGGTGCACGCGATGTCCATCCCGACAACGTCCTCGGTGTGACGCTAATAACGATAAGAACACCGATAATAACAGCAAGACCCAGCGATGTAAATGTACGTTAATGCAGCATTGATACCTTAGGGAACTCCAGTGCTTTGGTCGCAGACGCTAAGAAACCATCAGGCTTCTTCGCGACTTTGTACACCTCGATGGCATTGGCCATAGCTTTGTGGATAATAAACGCTTTTCCATCCGGCGACCAACGTATCAAAGTTGCGTGATCGTACTCTATGTTGACGCGCAAGGATCTGCGATCCTTCGACGCGAGATCCTTCACGCACCACAGCATCACGCTACGGTCTAGAATAAGATAAAGCAATTTACATTAATCAAGGCTCTCTTGATTAACAATTAATATATATATATTTATATATATATATATATATATATGTAGAGAGGGTTGATTAGAGTCTGTATATATCATTTTTATATAATGCGATAATAATTTTTATCGTATTCGTCAGCGAGTCTTCCGGTTGCAACGACCAGTCGCAGGATGTGGAGTAAACAATGAAACACGAATGTTATAATTAAAAAGATTTTTTTATTCAATAACAATTGTTCTTTCTCAGTTCAATTCAGTATATATTCAATAATTAGATTAATCTCAATTATCATTAAAAGATATAATTGATCTAACTAAAAATAAAGCTCGATACTTTTTGCAAAGTTGTGTACCTACACTTTAACTTCATTTCTCTTCTTCTAGCTATCTGAGTGAACGAATACAATCTGCGAAATCTTGTCTTAAATCTATCCAACGTCGGAAGAGCATGCTAAATTAATCACTGTAACGAGGAATTCGTGAAATGAAACTACCATCTCCTATCAAAGTTCGCTGTGACGCTAAAGTAAATTACGAACCACCTGCATACTATTGGATAAAATTGTCAAATATGTCGAAGACTTTTCTTGTATATTAATAGCTATAAATCTTGGTCACCTGATTCAAGGCCCACGATTCAATACAACTGAAATGAGCCCTTAATAAATATGTATCATTATTAACATCCTTTTCTCCCGAAGCTACGATTGTTAGACAATTAATTAAAAATATGAGAATTGCGACACATGTGTATATGTATATATGTGTGGTGTGTTGTGTGCGTATGTGTGTATGTGTGTGTAACTGAATACACGGTCCTATTAATACAGATAACTCATAGCGCATCTATTGGAGTATTCGAGTGGCATGGGTTTTGATCCACCCGGGTCGATTAAATCCAAGGTCGGACATGCACAGGTAAGTTTTGTGATCGGCTTCCATAGTCTTGTGACATCATTAATCGACTTACGTCACTCGAATACGCCATATGATTATTTACGATTTTTATACACTATCTTTTGCACAATTCCTAGGTCTTTTACTTGGTGGCCGCATTAGTTCCGAGTCAGCGGTCCCTACACACACAGCGTCCTCCCGCGCGAATCTACGTTTCTCGATAAAATCCAAAAGTCCCTCCTTCGTGACGGGCTTGAAGATACTTCTACACACGGAATCGGCGGTACTGAGCGAATTAGGAAACGACTTGTCCGTCCTTTGGCGCATATAGGCCCATTGGCCATTTTCGAGTTTGCATTCGATAATCGTGTTGTCCAAATCTTTGATCTGCTTAGTAATCTTTATCATTCCGTACGGCATCTTTTGTCCTCCCACGTAAAGATGGCCGACCTTACGAGGCAGAATACCCTCGCCGGTCTCTGTCACGATCTTGAGTCGGAAATCTACGGAATTCAATGACACTGGCTTCCACTTCAAGAGTTCCGGAGATGGTCCTGTGCAGTACTTCTCTTCGGCTGGCTGGAATATCAAGCCATCTGGCTCGTGCGACAGTTGACTAGCGAATTTCTCACCCAATAGATTCTTGCTCTGTGTTACATCCCAGAAATACTTGAGACGTACTGAAAACGGTTCCCGTTCTTTCAGCAATCGCCCCTCTTTCATAGCTCTTAGCCTACCGGCGATTATTTGTCTCTCTATAATATAATAACGATCAGGATGAAACGGCAATTTGCTGACATCCTGACCATCGTACATTATGACATCGTATACTAAGTATCTAGGAATATTTTTGTTCCCATCTTTGTCGATCACCATTTCCTGCAGGATGGTAGTATATAAATTTAATAAAATAAATCTCAAAGTTTTCTATGAAAAATATGATTTCAACATCTGTTATGATTCTGATACTTACGCCATCCAATAGAGTATCTCTCAGACATCTGGTTGTCTGTCGCACATGGGGGAAAGTTAACCCATTTACTTGAAAGACACTGTTGTCTCTATCTACGAAGTATACATCTCTATCTCCTTGTATTAACATCATATATCTATAAAAATCATGTTATATTTCTCATAGTTTCTTATTGTATAAATTACTTTTAGGTAAAATATCTGGCTATCTTACCTTGTGCCATCTGCTTTCCACGATACTCGATATGGTTTATTGTGCAAAAGCATAATATTCTCAAGGTCCATGGTAACTGGTTGACAACCAGGAAATCCACTAGATTTCCACCCACAAATCTCCTGAACTCGCTTCTGAACCCCAGATAGTATCATCTTATCCAGGATGGGTGTTACACCAGGTACACCTGCCATGAACATTGGATTCTTGTTGTTGAACTCACGTTTCCCCTTTCTCTTGCCATGTCCTTCTGATTCAGGATTCTCAACTCCTGAGCTTGTATCACTGTTTTTATCCTCAACATTGGAATCGTCATATTCTAGACACCATGTAGGTTTTGCAGGCGGTGGGGGAGCATCATCCACATCATCGTAACGTTTGTATAACTCCTGGATATAATCACCTTTGTATATGCCGGGAGGTCTCGCTATTGCAAACTCCGCTAATGCTGCGTCGACACTGGTACCATCAATTTCTACCAAGTAACTGATTACGAGAAAGCCAGTCCTGTTGAAACCATGCGTGCAGTGCACGCCGACAATCTCCAAGGGATTGTGCGCGATGAAGTTCCGGCAGACCTGCACGAAGGTACGAGTTTGCTCCTCCGATGGGGTCTCGCCATGACCCCTACACTGCAGCTTCAGGTACTTGCAACCGTAATTCTCTATGCATTTGCGATCGTAGAATCTTGATGTATTAGTCAGGTCTATCCACAGTCCTAGCTTCAGCTTCTGACTTTTCAGGTATGCGAACAGCATATCAATGGTGAAACGACACTCTTCGGGCACGTGGTTGTCATAGGCCGATGAGAGAGGTGTCTTGAAGGCCAGGAACTTGTTTTGAATCAGTTTCATCGCCTTGCGGGGGCAATGAAGCCAACGTGGTGGTACACCCCCTCGACTTTCGTTGTTACCCGACATCCTCGTAGTTTGATCAATGTATCAATATATTAAAGACACAAGAGCAGGAAATAACCACGTAATTCGCAAATCTGATGTAATATACGGACGAGCATGTCCAGCTGTTACTGGTATCAACAATAACTTTTGCTTGCAACTGCGTTTACTTCCTCTTCTCATTTGTGGCTAGAGGACGCTCTGAGCAACCCAGTGTTATCGTATGATAGAGATGGGAAATCTCTCCGTACAGGAGCGTTGTGCGCATGTGTTCAGTGACGTAACATTTGACGAAATTGTCAAGTATAATATCTGAAGATAAACTTAAGCCAATCTTACATAAATACAAGATCCGACTATAAATACCGGCCTAGGTTAGCATTTTGTTTCTTTAAAGCCATCACACACACTTTCCGTAAGGACTGGTCTACAATCCGTGTCGTAAGTTGTAAGCCGTAAGAATTGGCGAATCACAGTCGATTATTACAAAAATAATCGGCTATGATTGGTCAGTTCTTACGGCTTACAGCTTACAATTGTAGACCAGGCCTAAGACGTAACAGTAAGGTTTCGACCAATCGTGTTGCTCGCTTCAAATAGTTAGTTACGCATGATCGAATCAAGCACTGCAATTGGTCGAAATTTTACTGTTGTATCTTAGAAAAGTGTGTATGATAACTTTTAACAGAAACTTTCTTTCCTCCGTACTCTTCGCATGTTTCTCTTTCAATTCTCTTCGCATATCCTTTCAGGCAGGAGAACTTACAATACCTTAAAGTAGATACGTCACTGTGTCTATCACACATTTGTTCAATACGCATGCGCGTGTGTTCCCACGATCCTTCATTACTAGTTGTATGAGGAACGGGTACAAGGCTGTATATATTTGGGTAGAATATGGACGTTATATTTTTATTAGGGCCCCGCAAAAGAGGAGATTAAAATATGGAGTTCAGATAAGCCAATCTCTGCGAGCTAAATTTCAATGTCGTTAAAGGATTAAAAAAGCGATTATAGATGGGTTATTGTCAATTTTTCAAAAATTTCCACCTTGTGAACTTTCAAGTATCCGTATATTTTGAAGCAAGTACCTCACTGAGATGTTACATGACGTCACACTCGATACATCTACCCGAAAGAAAGTTCATCCGCTCACATTGACCGTATACAGACCATAGACGATAATTCATTTAATGCTACAATTGTTTTGTCGTGTTGGAAGAAAGACCATGATTGGTCTATACGGCGTTTCAAAGCGTTTACAGAGCAAGCGAATCCAGATATTCGTCCAAATACGTAAGCTATGTTTCAATATTCATTGCAGTCCTGAAAACCTATAGTTTATCATACATGTTCTATAGTTTCAGTACTGGCAGTAAATATCAGAACGCACCCGCAATTGTTAAGTCCGCTCTTTATGGGTCTGTTTTTTTCTTGAAGAACTTCTGAACTAATGTAATAATGCAATAAGTTAGAGTGAAAGAAAATATATCTGTTTCATTCTAACTCATTGCAAATTCAGAAGTTCTTCGAAAAAGAACAGACCTTATATGTACACCAAGTTGCTCTGTCTATTTAAAAAATGAGGTAGATACGCAAATATTGACACTTTGGCGACGAGGAAGATAGAAAACTTGTTCTTCAGCCAAAGTGCAATTAAAAACGCTCGAACTAAAGCGGGGTTTACAATAGAAGTCGTAAAGTCCCAAGTCGCAAGGTCGTAAAAATATTGACCAGTTACAACTGATTATTCTTTGATCACAAGAATCGAGTGTGATTGGTCAATTTTCTTACCTCTTACTGCCTTACCTATGACCTTACTTCTATTGCAGACCCCGTTTAAGTTCCATGTGCCGTCCGGCGTAAAATGACGACAGTAATATTAACAGCGATGCATAATGCAATCTGAATACTTTCACCATTTTAATTCGCAGCAATTATTAGACGTGGATAGTTCTTCGGACGTTTATCTCTCGCGCAGATCCTTTTCTCTTTTCTTTCCTCGCGATTTTCTTCACCCACTTCTCACTCCTTCTCAGGCATAATAGATGTCATGATGACATCAAAATATGACGTCAAAATAATGAAGGAAACTCATTTTTTCATCATAATTCAGTTCTGCCTGGGTTCGTCCTTCGTTCTGAGCGATACGTACCTTCAGCGGAGCTCGCGAGGTATTTCCCATTCTGGGACAGATCCATATCGAGGATCAGCCCGGTGTGGCCCTTCAACGCGCCGATCAGCCAGGAGTTTTGAAACGCCTGCTGCGCTTCCCGCCGCTTCTGGCCCTTCGTGCGTTGCTTTGTTGCTTGATTGCCGCCGGCTGCTTGCTGCCGTTCGGCGCTCGACGCTCGCGTCTCGGGCTGCTCCTTCGGGCTGGCCGCCTCCGTCGCGTCTATACGTGTGATAAATAAAACAAACGTGGTAGAGCGGGAGGAAGAAGTGGTGGTTTTGAAGTGCGCGCGCGACGTAACGCGACCGCGTGGCCTGCGACACGTGCGAGCTTTCAAGGGGTAGTCGGAGCGGACGGGTCGCGATTGCACGCGCGAAGATACAACTCGTTCTTCTCGTTTTTTCTCCCCTCATCATCAAGTGACCGAAGCGGCGAAACTCGAAGTTTGCTTCCTACCGCTGAATTAGTGTACACTCTAGAGGCTAAAAAACACGAGCATATAGTCGAGGCTTGTTGGAAGAAAGAGAAAAGAGATCTCCCGGCAAGAATGCTTCGTTGTTCTGTCGTAGGCCTGGTCTACAATATGTGTCGTAAGTTATAAGCCGTAAGAATTGGCGAATCACCGTTGGTTATTACAAAAATAATCGACCATAATTGGTCAGTTCTTACGGCTTACAGCTTACAACACGTATTATAGACCAAGCCGTACTCTCCTCCGCGATGACGATCATCGCGACAAACGCGAACTCGGGTGCTCTGTCAACGATCAGCTGCGGAAGGAAAGCGGGCCGCGCGCACGTGACGTTTGACAGCTGACGACGTGGAGCGTGTCGTGGCTCGGAAGAGTGCGCTTGAGCACTACGATGATCTTTACTCAAGCGCATCGTTTTATCTTTCTTCAGCAAACACGTAGCGATAAAAGTAGAACGATACTTTCTTGCACGGAAACGTGCGGGACGAAGTCAGCCTTGGTGTCGCCGGCCTCGTGCGAACCATATCAGATTTGTTTTATACTGCTGGACTAGTGTACACTTCCGGAACTTAGGAAAAAAAAGACAGACGTGTAGTCGAGACTTGTTCGAAGAAAGAGAGAGAGAGAGAGAGAGAGAGAGAAGAGAGAGAGAGAGAGAGAGAGAGAGAGAGAGAGAGAGAGAGAGAGAGAGAGAGACTAGTGCAAAGTAGTGCAAGGAATTCAGCAATAAGAAATAAACCTACGGACGACGACTCGGAAAAACCGACTCGGTATACCTTTCGGCCGGTTGTACAGCTTGCGGGTGAGTCGACCGATGATGCAGCCGATGACGAGGGTAATCGAGGCGGCGAGCATCAGCGTGCCCAACAGCGACACGAGGTCGACCGCGTCCGCTGCAGCGTTCCCCGACATCATCGAGTCCTCCATCGTCGCAGCGTTGAAACGCCGGCTACTTGCCGCGCGACCAACGCGCACACACCCACACGCACACGATGTAACACACCACGCACACACCCACACAACCTTCCGGGCTAGCAGCACTCGCGAGCGGAAAAGCCGCGAAAAATCCTGGCAGAACGCGACACGCTTCGCGTGACGATCGTACGGAGAGAATGAGAAGATTCACGCGCGTCCGGCCGCGCACGAGTCGTGCGTTCCGAAGAATCGCCGCGATTATATCAATCGCGTTTATCACGCGACGAGAGACTACGCGACGCGAAAGCGCGACGCGTCCACGTCGCCTACCGCGGACTGTGCGTCTGAGACACAGCGCGACTTCTGCGTGTTCCGAAACTCATCGAGCGATCTGCGCCCCGCAAGTAGAAATGTTCAATCGGCGACAAAGGGTCTGTTCTTTGCAGCTGAACTAATTACATTAGGTCGTAGTAGCTCTCTTTTCCTCTTTTTTTTATGTCACACACAGCTATATACATGCTTCTTTTTAAGTTCTAAGAAATAGTATTCTAATAGTATTCTATGTATTACATAGAATATTGCAATGAGGCAACAGATATGTTTCTTAAATTGTTAATCAACTTATCTTTGAATAAAGAGAAAAGTCTGTCGGGAACTCGACGATTGACCAATGTGATTGGTCGAGATTGATCAACCTGTTGAGTTAATTAGACTAAAGCCCTTAATCAGTCCTATTTAGCTTTTTTAAAACCCGCGATTCTGATTTTTGTTTTTACATTTAACAAAAAATAAAGATAGAATGATGGTTCTAAAGATAGAATGACGCAGCAATGATATTTTAGTTTTATGTACAAATTTTTAGGAAGCTGTTTATCATTAGTAGATAAAGTTTACTATCAAAAAATTCAAATTATCGATGATTTCATAATTTTATCAATCATAAAAAAATTGATATATTTTTTATCGATTTTTTTAAAACAAATTATTTTCTTCAACATTGCTCATCTTTATAAAACATTCGGAGTACACCTCAACGATAATCAGACATTTTATTTTCAAGTAGTATAACTTAATGGCAGGTCGGCCGCATTTTTATTTTATTATGAAAACAGATTGTAACTTTGACAAAATGACAGTAATGACACGGCTCACAAAGTATTTTGTAACTTGAAATAAATAAATTATGCTAAAAAGAACTTGGTCCAAATAACATTTTATCGTATATTCTGTTCATTAATATAAATATTTTAGGTGAAAAGAAACAATTTGCAAATTGACAACAGTTGCAATACAATCTTGCTTATTTTTCATGATCGAGAGAAGAAATGTTGCATTTCGGGATGAACAGCAACAATGACGTCATTTTTATGAAAGAAAAAAAATCTCACTTTTAGTAGGTACCATATCTAAATATTCGGACATCATGACTCAATGGCCGCGTTCAGTAGAACAAAATGATCAGGGAGCGCTTAGTGATTATTGTCTGTGATTGAAGCATTCTTTTAGATTCTTCATAGACCCAGAAATATTTACTAATCAGGAGCGAAATTCAGTGGAAAATGTAGTAATGTTGTCCAACTGTTGAGTCTGCGAACGCGGCCATTGATTTTAATGTCACTTCCTGTTGCGACTACTGCAGCCGAAGAGGTAAAGTAGCAAAATGCTATGCAAAATGGCTACCTACATTGAAATAACCTTACTTGATAGTGAGACTAAAGGTCATTCTACAATATGTGTTGTAAGTTGTAAGCCGTAAGAATTGGTGAATCACAGTTGATTATTACAAAAATAATCGGCTATAATTGGTCAGTTCTTACGATTTACAACTTACGACACGTATTGTAGAACGACCTTTATGAAGCAATGGCTGCGTTCAGTAGAACAAAATGATCAGTGAGCGCTTAGTGATTATTGTCTGTGATTGGAACATTCTTTTAGATTCTTCACAGATCCAGAAGTATTTACCAATCAGGAGCGAGAATCACTAAGCGCTCACTGATCACTTTGTTCTGCTGAACACAGCCATTGAATGTCAGTTTGAAGGTTGCTGAAAGAGCTCATAATGGTAAGGATTAATTTTCCTAGTTGAATTTTGTGTTAAATTAAATTTTTGTAATATTACAGACTTTCGTTCACTCATACTCATATTTCTTATTACTTAATTGGTATTTATTTTGGAATAGAATATATATAATGTAACAAAAATGTATACATTTATAAAATTTATAGTATTTTATAAAATTTGAGATTTTATTATGTATGTGCTTTTATTATAGATTTAGAATTTGCAACAACGTTATTAGAAAAAGCAAAATGTCATGGTAAGAAGAAAACTAACGTTACATTACAAATTCTTCTCATAATAAGTTTTTAATATTAAGTTTGATATTCTGTTTATATCCAGATAGCAAATTGCCTGTGAGTTTGCTATTATTTTGTCGAAGTCAATTTAGACAAACCAAGAGACAGATGAAACAGTATTATACGTGTAGTTTTGAACTCACATGAATACCAATTGTAATGACAGCAAATTGATGACAAATTGATATCCGGGGCAATAAGAGATGAACATAATTATACATATTTTGTTGCCGTCATCTTGTCATCATGATGCTGACAACATAAGTACTTATGTTGTTGAATTAATAACGCCTTATATTTCAATGTTGACAAATGTATAGCAAACATACAGCAAAACGTGCTGTGCATTAGTTTGCACAAAATGTTCAATCACGCTTTGTTATCGGGGAAAGTTCTCTTCAATTTTTAGATTATTCTAGCTGTATTTTAGGAAGCCAAACCAACAAAATTTATCATGATACAAGTCATAAAACCTCAGAGTTAGATGCAAACAAAGAAAATGATAATAGTAAAGATTAAGGTAAGTTAATATAAATATTAGAATTATTTAAAGAAATTTAATGAGAAATATCAGTAACATTTTTCTCGTGATATATAGAGCAACATATTTGGTCTAAAGAAGAAACATTGCTTCTAATGGGCATATATACTTCCAAAGAAAAAGAATTTAATAGTGGCAAAAATACAGTGAAACATTGTTGGGAGAATGTTTCTAAGGAAATGAAGAAAATGGGGCATGACATAAGTGGTAAAAAATGTTGCATCAAATTTCAGGCAATGAAAAGAACGTACAAAGCAATAAAGGACCACAATCAACAGTCAGGAAACAACATAAGGAAATGGGAATATTTTGAAGTAAATAGTTTTTTACTTCCTATATTATTATACATTGTTATTATATTGCATTGTTATTATATTGTATTGTAGTATTATATTATTGTATTATTATTAATATCTTCACTCTACATGATATTTAATAATACTTATGATTATGTATTTTAGATGATGGATAACATATTTATTAAGAAGCCGTGGGCAGAATCTTTAGCAGTCGCTGGTACAAGTATAGCAATTCTGACAGCCCTCCAATATCAGAATCTTCAATAGAAGAAAATCTTAAAAGTTGTTCAAGTAACCTACATATACAGGATATTTGATGTTAAATGTCGAAAACACCATAGTATACATACAAGTTAAGATGTTCTGAATAAAAAAGTCTTTTACCATTTAGCATATATCCACATAAATTTTTAAGTTATTAATTATAACAACTTTTATATACACATGCCATTTTCAATAATTAATAACACACAGACACATATGTATGTATAAAAATATATAAATTTTTAATTATATTTTAATTACAGGGATGAACAGAAAAGTAACTGTAGACATTTACTTAGAAAAATTGTTAGAAGAAAAAAGACTGAAACAAGAAGCAGACGCAAAAAAGCATAAAGAGAAAATGGAGCAGTTAGATAATATTAAAAATTTGTTACAAAGTCTTATTAAGAAATAACAAGTTTAATATACTTCCTTTTATTTTATTTGTTACATGTTTTATAATGTTTATTAATGTTCTGTTCAGTATTATAGTTTCAAGAAGTTTATATATATTATAATTACAAGAAGTTATTTTTTTGTAGAAATAAATATCTTGTTTGGAGTTCTTTTAGAAAAATAAGATTTCTTTTCATAAGATAAAAGTGAAAATTTTATTATTTGAATATTTTATTTAAAACATTATGTGCAGTATTTTTTATATTAAGCATTTTTGTTAAGTATTTGTAACAACACATTGGTTATAAGACTCATTGTAAGACTGTTAAATATATATATATTTTTTTATATAAAGCAACGTGTGTACAGGGAAAATCGTTTATAAAACTGATCAAATGTTGTCAATATATGTGTAATAAATAAATGTGCAACTAAACCGAATAGTAATTCTTATTTTTTATTTTGCAGAATATGAAACTATTTTATGAATACATAATATTAAATTAAATTATTCATATATAAAAAGGTAATTAATTTAATATATTTATATATTATAATATGTGTACTTTCATTTTTCTATAAGAAAAAAAAATTCATACGAATCGTTCATTTATCCGCGTTATTTTGATGAATAAATGAAATATTGATCGGTCTTCAATTTTCGGTACTAATTTATTCTCTCATTTCTTTATAAGACAAGAAAAATTGATACTAATCATCCGTTTATTCGAGTTAATTTGTTGAGTAAATTAGGGGGATAAATACCTGAAAAATGAGAACAAATTGTCGTTGTACTTGGACACTAATTTACAGTATTGATCGATATTCGATTTTCGATACTGATTTACTCTTTCATTTCTCTATAAGAAAACAGAAAATTAATACGAATCGTCCATTAATCCGCGTTAATTTGATGAATAAATTAGGTATTGATCGGCCTTCGATTTTCGGTACTGATTTATTCTCTCATTTCTTTATAAGAGAAGAAAAATTGGTACGAATCGTTCGTTTAACCGAGTTAATTTGTTGTGTAAATTATAGCGGTAACTACCTGAAAAATGAGAACAAATTGTCATTGGACAATTTTCTGACACTGATTTATGGTATTAATCGGTATTCGATTTTCGATACTGATTTACTCTTTCATTGCTCTATAAGAAAAGGAAAAATTGATACGAATCGTTCATTTATCCGCGTTAATTTTTTTTTTATTATATGTAAGTGGTCTATGGGACGATTAAATATTCGAATACATGTTGCCGTATCAGAGTCTCCTCTATAATAAACGATTTCACACGTCTAAAGCATGATGTTACCCGCATCCCATTCCCTTCGTCCTGCTTCTCTGTATAAAATGTCGAATTGAAACGTATTAAAAAGTATTGACATTTTGAATATGTCTGAATTCTGAATCATTTTGATCCGGAGAAAAGGATTGAAAAGTACTAGTTTCCATTAAATTTTACTGCGCTAAATGCGAGACGGTTTCTTTCGCCCGGGTGCCTCACCAGGGAAATTTCTCTGGTACGCTAAATCCCGTAAGGCCATCAGTCTTTGTAGTATATCTCGTCGGTGCATAAGGTTTATATTACCTATACATACATATTTTGAAACATTTTCTTTGGATATTATATCAAACGGATTTTTCGTGTCACGTAATATCCTTCGGACTACATGGACATTATTATTTTGATCATTTTGATTTCTTTGGTATTCATTGAATTATCCAGAACGCGCAACTGCGTGTTGAACGACTCAATTGTCGTGTGAAATGTTTCGATTTTCACAAATTCATATAAAATTTTTCATTTTTCACTAATTCACAGAAGTCTTTCACTTTTTATTAGTTCACGCTAGGGAAAAGATTCATGATCGCTGCCCCGAGTAGCTGCAACGCTTTTCGAATCATCTATGTTGACGCGCTTTTACTCTTCAGATTTCTGTCATTAATAACTTGATAATTATTGCGAATCTCGCAAAATGGTATGGGACTTTTATGTGTGTCTCAACCCAATCTACCTTCACACTTCGGGTTGGCAGCTAATTACCGGACACTTCGTATGATCTTCATAATATTAATCATATACAATGTCAATTCTTTTTTTTTGCACATGTTAACATGTTAATTCATGTTATAAACGCGTAACAATGTACGAGATCGTGCTTGTCAAGTACTCTATTATGGTTGTAGCACGGACATAAACCGCCAAAAAAGGATGTAGCACGGACTGCCACCACATACAGGTTTTACCGCCGAAACCTGAAAGTGGATGTAGTATCGTAGTTCCCCTCTCAAAATGGATGCAGATGCTGCCTTTCTCCAGTGCGGAAAGTCGGTGTCGTCGAAAACACCGTGTTGACCGCTCTCACGTTCCTCTCTGATATTAAGCCAGCGGCACACGGTGCTTGTTTTCGTGCTGGATTGCTTGCTGGACGAAAATACTGCGTTCTGATTGGTGCATTTCCATCCATCTTCGGAAACGAACAATAAAACTCTTCTACTTTTCACCTAATATTCAGTGATGATGAATAACATTTAATTACATTCGTTTGGCTCTTTTTGTTTCGAAAATAAAAAAGATATACACCAGGGTGAGATTTCACCCATGACAACATCAACGTGATTTTCTTTGATGCTTTTTTTTAAAAGTTCAGATATTTCGTCGATTCGCGTGATATTTATAATGCAGCACGGACATAAGCCGTCTGAAAGTGGATGTAGCACAGACTTCCACTACATGCAGATTTTATCACCGAGACCTGAAAGTGGATATAGCATCGTAGTTCCTCTCTCAAAATGGATGCAGACGGCGTCCTTTCCCAGTGCGGAAAGTCGGTGTCGCAGAAAATGCCGTATTGGCCGCTCTCAGGCTTCTCTCTGGCTTTAGTCTCACTTTTGGTTTGTTCTTTTCTGCACTGCAGAACTAGTGCAATAAGTTAGAATGAGATAACTATATTTTTTCTCACTTTAACTTATTGCACCAGTTCAGTAGTGCAGCTAAAAAGAACAGACCCTTTGACTTATTGCACCAATGCAGCGGTGCAGAAGAAAAGAACAGACGAAATATGTCTGATGGTTTGATACAGGTTAATTAATGTTTAGAAATCTAAACTTTCGTGCTTCCAGATATAGAAGTAATGAAACGTATCTTTGTACACACTGGAATATCATTTCACATTCTGTACATATTGTGAACATTGAAGTGAAATAATCAATGATATAACGAATGCAGACTTTTTGACGCTTTGCACTTAACGATTGTGTATTTTTAATTTACACAAATGGCAACGAATACATCGGAAGGCAATAAGTATATTTATCATCTGCCGTTTTTAGAACGATCGGAACTTTGCAAAATATTGAACCAAAATGACAAGTGGGAGGAACTAGCTGGTAAGTTGCTCGAAATCCTACAATATACAGAACATAGAAACGTCAATTATTAACCTATATATGATTAACCTATTCATTTTTCATTTTTTGTCTCAGATTTTACATTAGATTGGCTATCTTATTTTCAAAACTGTTTGTTTTCATAATCTTTCTTACATTCTTTATTCAGTAATGATGAATAAGCTAGAAGTATAATTTCCGATGATCACTCATCAAATGTTACACATGTATGTGAGACCTGTGTATCCTTGATTACATTTTTTGTAACATACATGTTATAACATTAATAGGTACCTGGATGAAGTACGATGTCTTGACGATACAGAATTTACGAAGAGAGAAGAATCCTACTGATGAACTTTTGACACTATGGGGTCATTACAATCATACCATAACAGAGCTATTTGTCTTATTAGCCAGAATGCAACACTATCAGTCAATGGTTCCTTTGTTGCCTTTCGTAGATGCAAAATTTCATCAGCTCTTGCACAATGGAGAGGGTAATCTACAGAGAATGTTACAAAAGCAACAGGCCAACAGGAACACAAAAGATTTAAAGATTGGGGCCCAGAATTTTAATGAATGTGTGCAACCGCAACTGAATACAAAGATTGTCGCAGAGGAAAAACAGCATTGTAAAATTTTGAATCAACCAATGGCACAGTTGGCTAATAATCGAAGCGATTCTAATAATTTGCTCGTGGCTTCACCAGCAGCTGCAGCAGCTCCTGCTTTTTCACCATTTCGACAAAATACTGGCAGTAGTGACAAAAAGATGAATGAGTCACCATTGCCAAAAACAGAAGCTACTTTGCCTCGTGTAACTTATAGTGAATTAGGTATTGCAACAAATGGATGGAACAAGTATAATATATTAGGCAAGGGTGGTTTTGGTACAGTATACAGAGGTATGCATTTTTATAATTACGTGTAGATTATTAAATTAAAATCATATAGACAGAATTAAAGTTTGTAGGGATGTAGGTTACGTATATAGTATCAATGACTGATAACTTAATTCAGAATATAACCATGTTCAGAATAGTTTAGTTTATATTCTTGTATATTATAGGTACTTGGAAAAACACTGACGTGGCAATAAAAAGAATTGAACGAAAAGGACGGAATAGTTCCGAGAGGGAGAGGGAGGGTTATATGATACAGCTGCAGCAGTCCCTCATAGAAATCAAAATTCTAGATTCTCGCGCTCATGAGAATATTTTACCCTTATATGCGTACAGTTTCGATGGCGACGCACCGTGCTTGGTCTACCAGTTGATGAGAAACGGATCTTTGGAGGATAGACTGCTGATAAGGGAGAAGACTAAACCACTTACGTGGATACAAAGGCATGAGATAGCCAAGGGTACAGCGCGTGGATTACAATACTTACACACTATTGGCGAGAAACCGTTGATTCATGGTGATATTAAAAGCGCTAATATTTTGTTGGATAAAAATTTCGAGCCCAAAATCGGTGATTTTGGTTTGGCGCGAGAAGGTCCAGAAAGCGATAGCAGTAGCGATATGCAGGTAAATAGCACTAATTTTAATGTGAGCGATATTTTGATGCCCAAATTGTTGGAAAATTATAATTTATATTGATAAGTTATGTAATCTCTTTTGCATTTTTATTTTCACAGATTTGCTGTATATAAATGTACACATTGTGTATCGAATATATAATTCTTTACTATATTTGTAATATCAGAATATGTATCGAATCAATAATTTTCTTTAAATTATTAATATAAACAACTAATAAAATATAAATCTTTTATCAGGTCAGCAGAATCAATGGGACGCGACCGTACCTGCCTGAAGATTTTCTATTCGACAAGAAATTATCCACGAAAATCGACACATATAGTTATGGTATAGTCTTATTTGAAATAGCGACGGGTCTTCGAGCTTATGACGATTCGCGCCCAGAGAACAAATATCTACGAGATTTCATTTTCTCTTGGCAAGACAAAGATCTTCCTCTTCTGATAGACAAAAAAGCCGGCGGAAAGGACAGTCAGGTTTATGGAAATTTAATAGTCTTAGGAAAATGGTGTTCCCAGCGATACGCACAAGATCGGCCAAAAATGGAACTTGTTTTCCGTAAATTGAATGATTTATAAACTTCCACTGTCGCGTCGCAACGCGTTTTTTTTGGACAGGTTTGATTGTATTGAGTTTACAAATTGCACAGTTTGAATTGCAATTATGGGACCAAATAATAGAAGTATCAAACTTCACTATACAACAAATCACAAGTGTAATTGATTAAAAAAATTTATTTTGTAATATAATATATGTATACGTGTTGTGTATATATGATTATTTTTGTTATACATGCATGTTCTGATTATATAACATAAAGTCTGTACAACAAATATAATAGGGATAATATGGGTCATAAACGTATATCTGACATGATATTTTGACGATAACTCGGTACGTTATCGGCACGATTCGAATTTGCCGTTCAACTCAGCATCCGCTTAATTGTATTTATGTGTTTTGGAAACTCAAATAAGTCGACAACATGTGTTATAATATTTCATATAAAAATATATATATTTTCATCACATTTTATTTTTCTATATATGTTACAATGCTAAAATACTTATAAAAATTTGTTAAGAAAACTTTTTCTACGTGTAAAGAATAATAAACATAAATCAAGTGTTAACATCAAGAGTTAAAAAAATATTTGTGAAATATAATAACCTTTTACTATATTCCTAATCTATTTTAAAACACATAAATATATTTTTTTTATTTTATTTGTAGCATGATTGCAGCACATGATTGTAATTTCTTATTACATTACAAATAAGAAAAAAGACATATTTCTTTCTTAATTTGAAATTAAATAAAAAATTAGTTTAAATATAATTTTATATTTGGATAATACAGCATATTAATAAATGGAGCAAAAATTATACTGTATTTTAGTCAGGTTTATGAGATTTTTTAATCGTGCAACTTTAATTACGGAAAAGTTCACACAATTAATATTCTTCTCTTATTATGCTCAAGGTCGTACAAAAAGTAACATTTTGCATTAGTAATATTTTCATAATACAATTTTGCATAACAATTAATTAAATATATATTAAATATACTTTGAGCCGTAATAATTAATAAATTATGTTAATTTTTCATCCTTGCATGGTATAAATTTTAACATCAATGATAAAAACAATACATATCTTATTCTCGTGAAACCAAAAATTTACGTACGAATGTTAGATGATTAAATTACATAAATTATAATTACAACATTTCTACATTTAGATTGTCATCTTTAACTAGCCTAAATATACCTTTTATACAAAACTTTGCCAGATAATATTCCTATCCAATGATATACTTAAAAGTTAACCGAAAGATTACATCTCCGGGTAAAAATGTTGGAGAGAGCAGGTCTACATTTTCCAAGTTGTTTAAAACATATATCGCTCTTAAAACTAGAAAATATTCAGAAAATGTAGTTGAAGTATATTATGTGTTTGCGCAACCTGTAATCATACACATACACACATTGTCTAAATTGGCTTCTTGATATATTCCGACGATTATACCCCATTCTGCGATCGTGTGGAGTTTACACAATATATAATTGCGACTTTTCTCACTGTGAGTTCTTTAAGCATCTTCATTTGTTAACATTATAAAGCATGAAAATGAGGCATCATGACGACTAGCGTTGGGTCTACGACGCGTACAGCAATATCGACTTCGATCGATCTCTATACTCTAAGAATTAACCGTTTGTCTTAGAATGTGAATCTGTCGCATGCGCAGACAATAAGGAGAAATTAGTGCACCTCGATGATCTTTCGTATTTCGTTAATACGCGTTATTGCGCCTGTACGTAAAATATTCACTACGGCGCCTAAACTAACTAAATATTTCTGTTGACGTGATTGTCTTCTTGATTGTCGGTAAGACAGTGATCGAAGCTTGTTGGCCGTTATACAAAGGTATTTTTATATCGAAGTCGACGTTCAGCACCTCCTGCTTTTTTCTCCATTGCTGATTGAGGAGCCTCAAGAAACGACCAAACGACCATACTGTTGTCACCATCCCGATGATACCAAGTAAATAAATCAGCACTGTTTGTGCGGCTGGTAATATTTGGTTTATCAATCTCAACATGAAGATAAAATAGGTCGACACTGATGGAACAAACTAAAAAAAAATGTTTACTTGTTACTCACTGATCGATCATATGCAAATAAAACAGAGAAAACCTCTTTTTCCCCATGTGTGTATTATGTCAATTAAAAAATTCGGTTTAATTTATCTTATAATTTTGCCGGTAATTATTGACTATCACTAAAAATTAAAGCAAACTTACTCGAACAGAATCGGTTTAATTTTAATTCCAATCGTTGAAATCGATTCATGCTAATACTGATCTAATTCACTGATTGAATTCATTGACAATAAAAACATTATTTATGAACCAAGTGATCCTTGTTATTATCTACAATCCTTCGTCAATTTCGGTAGCATTCATATTTGACTTTTATTCAAGAAATTGACTTACCGTTGAAGAAGATAATAAATTGAGCCAAACCGATCATTTTGACTGACCAGATACTTAGACGCAGTTGAGATATAATACCGCAAGTTGGCGGTGTCGAACAAAATGAATCGATTGAAATGCAATGAGAAAATCGTTCGTTTACCGCTTAGTCATAACTGCTCAGTCATAATGTAGTAAGAATACATTCCGGCCATATAGTTTGATGTAACGTTATTCCGAATTCCGCGATAGCGTTTTCTCATGGAAACATCGGGCGATGCGTTGTTTCGCAGATTGCAGTTAACGAGAGTAAAAAAGCCGATTAGAGAAAGCGAAAAGACAGGGTAATCAGAATAGATTTCACACAGGGCGAGATTTTTACCAACAGCTTGCGACAGCGGAGTGCGCGCAACTTTACTTACCATGTCGAACCAGAACAACGGTATCGCCATGTCGTTAAAAGGAAAGATTTTGGAATTGTAGTGGGTATGATGCATTATCAGGTTCGTCTGTATCCTCGAGTGCACGTTTAAGGGTATACCGATTGTCTGTAAACACATCGTGGAAATGAATCGCGAAATAATGCGAAGCGGCTGTTTATTTAAAACTGCAATTTCTTCTTCATATTTGTAAGCGGACGTGTAAAAGAAGTGTCGAGCAGTAAGATGTCAGATTTTATCAAAAGTTAAATGCGAGATAATCATTTCATTTCGCAATGAAAAATTTCACTTCATGGTCGAGAATTTCATTATCGCACTTCGTGCTCACTGGCCAGTTCAGTTATGCGTTTTCCGTTCGGCTGTTCTTTTCTTCTCTTGGAAGATATCGCCCGATTATGTGCATTTGAGATTCCGGAAAGGAGATTTCCATCGTTCCAAATGGAGCGCTAAGTCTTTGTCTTGTCGATTGTTTTATTAACCCTTTAATGCCCGACTGTTTTATAAGTGTTTTAAGAATAAAATTTGAGTTTTTTTGAACTGAGACTGTAAGTAGCGATAATCAAAAAAAATATCAGAATTTTATGTTGGTTTTTTTTTACTGTTCGTTTTTTGTCTATTGGTAAATATGACTTGGATCCTAAAAGCACATACGAAATGAGCGACCTATACAGAAAAAAATGAAGGGTAATCTATACGACATAACTCTGATAGTCAGCTTGACATTTTTGAGCTGAAACTTTATTATATTTGTGAGTGAAGTTTATCATTCAGAGCGTCAAGTTTACCATTTCAGAAGAATATCTTATAGATCACTATTTAGATAGTCAATCGTTCCTTCATTTTTCGCCGCATAAAAAATTATAGGTCACTAGGTTTCACGAAAATAGATTGATTTCTTGATTTTCGTATCCACCATATTGGATTCGCCATTTTGAATTTCTGTATTCTTTTAATTTCACCTTTTGCATCTGAGAAAGCTTCCAAATAAAATTATAACAGATACCAATCTATTCATTTATAGTACACCTCTAGATGTCAGTAACAATGCTAACTATGCCTACTTGGAATTTGACGAAACATGTTATCATTAAAACTGAGCTAAAAACAGATTAAACCGAATCTACATACAATCTATTATATACCATTTCTTAGAAGAAGAAGAACCACCTTTACAATGGTGCAAGGAAAACGAAAATATCTCCTTTTTTGACCAAGTTATGAACTCTTAAATGCGTTTCTAGTAACTATAGTTACCAGTAGGCGTTAAAGGGTTAAGCTGAGAGTGTATTGAGAAAAATATACGATCGTTAATTTTTCCCAGCGTAAATAATTGTGCGCGTTGCATAACAGAAACGCGCACAATATATGACAAACACTCATAAAATGTTAATATACGGATTGAAGTATTTCAATTTCAATTTACGGCGATTTAAATGCTCGTTCTTGCATCTTTGGATAATTTACTGAATCGACATTTTCCTCACATCATTGAGACTGTTATACGACTGCCGTAAAAACGTTAGGAAATATGCACGTGCTATTAAGTAACCGGTATACAATTTGTATGTGTGTGTAAATGTGCTCTTTGTCCGCATAACATAAAGAAATGATATCGCGACTGAATAATTCATCATGCGTAATATCGAATTCTAACCGCGTGAGTATGCGAATAAGTTCGATCAGCATACTTCGTGTATGTTTATCGTGAATAGTCGAGAGAGCACATATCTTATCCATGATGAAATTATATCACATCCCGTTAAAATGTTTATCGCCAGAAGTAACATAGATGTATGTAAACAAGTTGTAACGTCAAAGACTTGTTGTAAAGTCAAGACTCGTTGCGCTATTCAAATAATTCGTCTCTTCAAAATGGAGAGACCGACATGAAACGCAGTTGCGTGGCGCAAAAGCATTTTCTTAATGTTAAATTCCGCCAAGAGTAGCCTGAACGTTTCGCAGATTCTTTCCATCCGCTAATACCTGACTGATTGCTTACCGATTGCACTATTGCGTAAGACATGTGCTTCTCCTCATCTGGATTAAGACCCTCTATATCCTCCAGCAAGCTCGGGTCAGCGTTAAGGAAATGAGGAAGCGATACTGCCATTGGGATATCTAAGAAAAAAAAGAAAGAGAAACCGATTAATTTATTAACTTTGTTACGATTATGTTTCTCCTTTTGCTCTTTTATTATTTTTCTGAGGCCGCGAATAAACACGTTGCGTTTATGGATATCGACATTAGCGTGGATTCACAATGAATATCAAGGCGGAAGTGACCTGCGAAAGTGACCTGCGGAAGTGAGACGTCCGCATAAATTCACGTCGACATGACAGCGGCACGTTATAGCGGCACGAGCCGAGATATTAGATTTGTTAAGCTTTGAGTATCGCAGGATTATACCTATCAATTTTACAGAATTGTACAGAAAAAAAAAACAATAGGAACAAGTTTTTGACATCTTGCATTGGACACCTCACCTTCGGATAAGTCAATCGTGTTGATGTCTGATGATATGTTTGCATGTATAAATATTCAATGATTTCCTAATGATTGATTATTCAAATGAAGATCTTATCGATATAATGTTACGAGGGTAAAGGTGCGCCCGAATCATGGCCGTCTCACGTTATCGTCGCGTCAAGAGTCGTTAAGCACTTTTTCATTCTTTTTCGCGACATTAATACAAAGTATGTTCTTGCCTAAGCTTTATTTCCATGGCGAGTTACTTGAAATCGTGCGTTAAGTTTTATTAGTTCTCGCAAATCTCACAGCTCACGAGAGAATGTTTTATTACGCGGTATCTCGATTTCAATGCAATTCCGCGAAAATGCGATTGAAATTACAATCGTGGTATTTGTGAAATCGTCGCGTCGGTTATCGGGATACATACTGTAGGTACACGGCGTTAAGTCGGATAGTCCTCTCTTCAGACAAGCTTTCTTGCGGCAATAACACTCGTTGTCCGGATTCTGCTCGGGCGGATCGGCGAAGTTGTCCGCGAGAACGTAGTAATACCCCGGCAGACCGTACTTCGTCCAGACCTCTTTTTGGAAGGTGATCGGTAACGGTCGGCAAAACATTTTCCTAAAGACTCTGAAAGTGGCATTCTTGTCCAAATGCGACGGAAATATGATGCCCTCCGTGGCGCCTTGAAGGGTGTTGCAGGCTGTATTTCTACAAAGTCCAGAATGAAAGAGGCGTTGGTAGCGGCAAGAAAGTGCAAAAACGTCAGATGAAACGCATACGATCAACGAAGAAGGACCTGATAAGACCTCGCCTTAACGTTGATTCGAAAGCTTCGTGTGATTTTCTCTCTTTTCCGTTCAGCGCGGAAATGAGTTATGAAGGGGGAGAAAATAAGAAAGAAAAAAGAAGCAAGCTGAATAAATGCTCTTCCAATCAAAATATAACGCCATTACGTGCAAAATATAACGCTATTTATCAGGTAAAGACAAACAGACAGGTCAGCGGTATGTTTGATCGCAATTACAGACGCATGACATCGCGAAAATGACGTAGTAACTTTTGACGAATGTGCCGGCATCCCGGTACTTCCCGCAGCGATATTTGACTTGCCCGGTTTTGTTTGCGCCGCTCGTTCACGACCCACGCCATCGATGCTGCCTCAATTTAACGCGCTGTTTAATTTCTGATGAAGCTTGCAACGGATTTTTATGATGCCCTCGGAAATGTCACTTAGCACCTACGGAAAGAACGCTTCGCCGACGCTCGCTTCGCCGTTAAATCTATTTTTACGCGCGGACAAGAGGCATGACGTAAAATTTCATTCGAATCACGGAGACGAGCCTTTCGGCCTTCCCCGGCTTTTGGGACTGTCTCTCCGGATGCGAAAGGTTCTTACTCTTTTAGCGTCTCGTTGTCCAGCGTGTCGACGTATCCCCATTGCGCCAATCCAGGACTGCCGTTGTACTTGTCGATGCTGAGATATCTTCCTTTCTCGTTCCTCATGTCGTCGTTCTTCCGCAACTGCAACGTCACCATGTTCTCCCCTTCGTCGTACATCTGAACAGACAGACGCGGATAGCGATTAGCGAATTTTCACGCGAAACTGGCTGCGTGTTCCGATCCTCGCCTCTTTCGTTCGCCCGACCTTCCCAGCGATCGATTAGAGCCGCGCGATCTCTTTGTCGAAAGAATGTCCGCGATTTCCTTAGATCCCGACAATATTCCCGACAGAGAAAAACTTAGATCTAACTCTAAATTCAGTGATGTGAGTGTCTCACGTGACGTGAGTTTCGAGTGATATATTAAGCGTTCTAAGGACCATTTTAACGGGTCTCAGAGTACCGAAGAAACTGTCGTTGAAATTTATCGTCGACTACTGCGATAAATCGTCCATGTCACCAATATAATTCACATATTGTATGTTATCAACAATATAAATGTTGCAACGATTCTCTTTACTCAGGCGGAACAGAAATTCACGATGACGTCAAAATGATGAGGAAAATTCCTCTTTTCATCGTGATTCGGTCATTTTCTCGTTATTTTGATGCCACCGTGATTTTATGATCTGCTTGGATAGGACGATGCTGTTGATGCGCGCAACATCTTCCGAGTTCGCGAGTAAAGGACGGTTGTTCTCTCAAAGAATGAGACACGCTCTTTGAATGTTTGCCAATGCTACGGGAGGAAAGTATGTGCGGAAATCGTTTGGCGCGTGTCCCTCGAGACCGTGCGGCACTGAGAGTCGTTAACGTTAACCTCGTGAACTCTCTGAAACGAGCGTGTATAAATAGTGAAAGGATCAGCGCGACTCGCGTGATAATTGCGAAAAGCGACGGCGGCTCGGGGGCACGCGAATATGCGGCAGTGTTCCATTTGCTCGTACATTGCCACGTAATTGGGATCAGGCTTGCGCCATGAATTATAAAATCGTGTCTGCATATAACTAGCTCATATAGAGGAAATGTGAGGGGAATCGCGAACACACCGACCTGTTCCGAATTCGTGGCACTAAAATCTCAAAAAACGACCTCGTCCGAGGATGAAGATTAGGATCCTGAAGTGTTTGGACATCTAACAATCCGGATATCCACGATCGATTTCGATCTGAAGGCTTAAAACTGTTTGGATAATCCGGTTCATTCGGACTCAAGTCTGGACTGCCATAACAGATTCAGATTCATGAGCGAATTCGAATTACAAAGGAAAAACCGGATAGTAGAGATGTGCGAATTGGAAAATACATTATCGTTTGCGTGCACCAGCTGTAAAACGGGCCACCTGGGCCTGTATGTTTGAATCCTTAACTCTTATAATTAATATTTAATTATATATTAATAATTAATAATTAATAACTTGATTATAAATTACTTTAAATATTTAAGTATATATTTTACTTTAAGACGATATTACAATATCAATATTTCCTTTCATATTAAAATCTTCCATCGTTATTTGCATGTTTAATAGTCATGTTAAATTTTTTAATGATTTGATTCGATTTGAATTCGAGTGAAATTTCATAGATTCGATTCGGTTCAAATTCGAATTTAAAAAATGAGATTCGATTCGATTCGACATAAAAATTTTTGATTCGCACATCTCTACCGGATAGATCAATGTGGCAAGATGTGTTTGCGTGGGTTTATGTTCACGTGCCTTTCTCTCTCTCTCTCTCTCTCTCTCTTTCTCTCTCTCTCTCTCTCTCTCTCTCTCTCTCTCTTTCATTAAAACAGGCATTATTTAATCAATGAAGTGAATTCCCGATTGATTTTGACTCGACCGAGAGGACTTGTTCCATCACCTCGACAATCCGAACATATCGTATTATTATAGAAACAAAAAAGGCTCAGGACTTAAGGCATGACGTCACTCACGAAGGCCAACGCGCACATATTGGGAAACCGGTTCCATTTCACCGTACACCCTAGATCTTTTTTGCAACCTTCGACGAGGTACGACTAACCGTGATTCGTTAATAACCGTGGTATGAAGTCAACGTTCGGAGATGATTGCAGCTCTCTGCTGTTCGGTGCGTATATTTGTGATTTACACTCGACGGATACGTCGCCTTTCGTTCCTCTCAACGAGCAGGCTATTCGAACTCTCAGCGTCACGTCGAGTGGATGACTATCGTCTATTTGATTTTTCTTTCTATACAAACAAAATCAGGAAACGCTGAGGAATCTCGAGTACAAAAATAGATGTACAGAAATAGATTTTCGTGATGTACGTTCGGGAAGTACTAAAATAAATACTCACGTCACAACAGATCGACCGTGATTATTTCGCTGTTTTCCCCGTTCAAGAAACAAAATAGTTATACATAATAACGATCAGAGAATGAAACATCGTGCGTAAGATCGGCGCTTAGACTCTAAATTAACACTTTGATGCCCGCACGTGAGACCAAGATTCTTTTGTCTGGCGCCGGTAAGTCTCGTATAAATCCTACCGGTCGCCGGAGTTTTTTGAGAAATCGTAAAACGTCTTGTTTTACTAATCTCAATATCAATGTCTAATATCAATATCTCAATATCTCGGTATTTGTCCGATAGCTTTGCACGCCGTGACACCAACGTCATTTGTGTCACCGGCATTTGTGTGAAAATTTTCACATGACACCAACGTGGTGTCACCGGACGGCATAGTGTTAAAAATGATAAAAGATTGCTAGTCTCTCGCGCGGATAATTATGCGTCGGTATGCTTGTAATGTGGATCTAAATGGAGAACACCTCCTTTCCCTTCTCCCCTGATCTCAACTTGAAAGTCTCAGTCTTTGTGCACTTTTGGCTATAGAGCGGTTTTGCCTTAAAGCGATTGCGATGCAAATAAATAAACGCGCAATTCGGTATAGTTGCATCTCTTGCACCTGGTTCCGCCAAGGAACGGTGTAATTTTGTATACCCTGGCGATTTACCGCCTCGTTTTTCCTTAAAAACTAGGTCATTGTGAATTTGTCTCGTTCACTAGTACGCTCTAACTGGTTAAACGAGCAGTAAAACGCTGTCTCGCCATTGGGTAATTGTGCGTATCGAACTGCTGTCTGTCTCTCTTAAATTATTTAATTTCCTCAACTAATAAGAAACATAGAAAATAATATGATATGAAGATTATGAATCTTAATTCTTTCCTAAGAGTCCCGAAGATCGTTTAGTAGACTTTACGTATTTATTTATTCATTTATTAAGCGTGCGCACTCTCTTTATATCTCTTTATATTTCTGCTTGCTTTTTAAATAGAAAATTAACATCTTATCTTAAATTATGCCAGAGAAGGGCAATTTTTGTACATATGCAAATAGTTAGCGATATAATTATTAATTTAGTCTAGTGAAAAAAGTAAAATGGAAAGAAAAGATCCTTGTGTTTTATTTACGATCGCCTAAAATATCATGTATTTTTAATTAAGCAAATCACTTCTTTTTTAACATAAATGCAAATTGCAATTATATAAATAGCAGTTATATAAATGCAATTGCATATTTATAAGAATTTAAAGAATGTAAATAATTTAAAGAATATAAGAATTTAAAAATTATTTTATATTAAAGAAGTTGAAAGGCAAATACGTAAAAGACAGATATGGCGTCTGATAAAATCTGACGGATTTGCAATCCGTCCGTTAGCAATATTTGTCGACTTTTATACGTCTACGTTATGTTCACGCTAACAACGAAGAGAGATAGAGATATGCTGCTCAACTCACCCTATCCAAAAGACCGAATTTCCGGAAATTGATGAAATTCGGCACAATCCCGCTGACCAGTGCCACCAGTGAGTCCTCGTAACCCCACAGATAATCGTACACTGATATGTTGAGGAAAGGTTTCGCATTCATCATGTTCGCCAGTTGTATCACGGGATAGTTCACTAGGAATCCGGCGTTATGCAAAGCGGACGAAACACCCTGCGTCGAATCGAAATAGAATTTAATATTTATTTCGCTTGCAAATCATTTCGTTCAAAAAAATCTATTCTAAAGTACTTCTAAAGTATTATCTATTCTAAAGTACCATCCGTACATTTAATATACATCTCGTATTACCCTTTTTTATATGTTTCTTCTACTGTATTGTACTTAAGAAACTTGTAAACAATTCCGTACATGAATCAGCACACGAGGCATGCGAAGTTACGTATGTTGCGTATGTCCTGCTCGCCTGTTTAGAATTGTATTTTGCCTTCTGCATTCTTTAATCACGAGGGTGTAAAAACAACTTTTTGCTGCTTTGCCCATTATCTAATAATTACGTAGCGATCATATGTCCCGTGATTACGACATTTCTCAATGACACTGCCGGCAGGTACAATTAAAAAACTAGTTGTTCCTTTTTTTTATTCGCTATTTTTTACATTTTACAATAAATTCTACTTATCATTTATGCCGTGAATAATCAGCGAATGAAAACAATGTGGATATTATTACAATGTAACCTCAAGGAATAAAACACGGAGTATGCTTGATCTTTACGTCAATTGAAACGCTAGAGGTTCAGTTGCGCAAGATGCAATAAATCTCACATTCGTAACCGTTGCGTAAAATATTATTCAGTCTATAATTACTTGATAAAATGCTCAATGAAAGCCCTTCGAGCCTGAAATGTACAAATTTTCACATTTAATCATTAATTCCTCTCCTGAGATTCCTCCTCCTGCGACAACAAAAACGGCTCGGATAAACATCTCTGTTACATTTTATTTTTAAAAGAATCTGCATGACTGTTCAAAGATTTCAAATAAAATAATCGATCGCTTCGGGATATCACTGTTTTCACGATTAAATAAAGACAGATGTTCCGAGAAACGTGAATAATTAATAATCCTTTCAGGTGAATTCTTTTTTAGTCTTCTGCAGTTAATACTGACTCATTACTAAGAAATAACTAGTTTAAGTGCCCTGAAACGATTATTTATTGAAATAACTTTGTTACTATGTGCATATTTCTTATATCTCGCGATAGGATGGTATTAAAACATAATAAATGCACTTCCACAAGTGCTGGGAATATATTATCTGTCTTTTTTTTCGAAATACGAAAAGCAATACGTTAATTGATTTCTATGTACGAGCTACCCGAATGATGTAACTTTCCCGCGGAATAAAAAAAATACGAGACGATGTGCTTTTGGTGTACACTAAGATAAGCGATATCCATTTCGCGAAAAAATATTAATATTATTTTTATTTGTGCGTACGTATGATATGATAAAATCGTACTTTCAATAACGAAGATTATTACGCGGGAAAGTTACATCATTCAAGTAGCTCGTACATAGAAATCAATTAACGTATTGCTTTTCGTATTTCGAAAAAAAAGACAGATAATATATTCCCAGCACTTGTGGAAGTGCACTTATTATGTTTTAATACCATCCTATCGCGAGATATAAGAAATATGTACATAGTAACAAAGTTATTTCAATAAATAATCGTTTTAGGGCACTTAAACTAGTTATTTCTTAGTAATGAGTCAGTATTAACTGCAGAAGACTAAAAAAGAATTCACCTGAAAGGATTATTAATTATTCACGTTTCTCGGGACTTCTGTTAAAAAATAACATTGCATATCTAAAAAGAGATAATCGAGTAATGAATAATCGCCATCGATTTTGCCATCATTACAAAATCTGCGATATGTTTTGTTGTAATTTGCAACAAAGTTGATGGAAATTATATATTGTGTTTTCAATTCGATCGCGATCTTTCCATAATCTGAAGCGTACTATAATTGAGGAAAATTCTCTCAATCATAGATAAAGTCGCTCAATTATTTTATATAAATAAAGTCGCCCAAGGATCATATATATCTCTAATTAACTAACTTTATGAAACACTCGCAACTGCGAACCAACCGTAACACACATATTGTAATTTATAATATTCTTGACAAGACGAAATACGAGGAGGAGGATGATTTCTTTCTTCTTACGACCTTTGGAGACTTGAGATTAAATATGCAAATGTGTTTACGCGACATTTAATGATCTATGCAAATTAGATATTTCATAATACTGCACTTGTCTCGTACAACTGCAAGGTTACGTTCTTCGATCTAACTGCTCAAGTATTTCATGACGGTGTTAGTAACGTGTTCCTTATACTTTTAATTTTCCCTTTTTAAACACGCCCATGTATGATAATGATAATGGTGTCTGATCTTCCGGAATTTTTATTAAATTATACTGAAACAATCACTTACTGTTACCAATTATACCGATTTGTATAAGCTGATTTATATCAATAATGTATTTATAATTCTCGGAATGTTGTACAGAGTTTATTGCAATGTTTTGACACAACTGTTAATGGACATTACGCTATATCGTAAACGTAAACATAAATTTTAAGGGCGGTATCAATTTTATAAGTTATATCATTATCACTGCATAACGTAATCAAATAATAGATATCAGTTACGAGCTTCTTCAAAAGAGAAACGCATATGCTCTAAAATAAGAAAGTCAGTTATTATTCTAAATTGAATCGATCTAACATGTATGCTTTGAAATAAGGAAGTAAATTATTATTCTAAATCGAGTCGAGCTAATAATGTGAAATTGATATTTAATCAAGTTTTTATATTATAATAAAAACAATATTCCAATGCCATGCTCTTTTTACTCATACGTGGCTGTCTCTGCGATGTCTCTGATTAATACAAGAATGCAGAAGCAAAAACTCAGACAGTGTAATTCATCAGGAAAGATTATTACTGCCGATGAAAAAAAGAGAACGGACTTTTCCTTACCAAGAAGGGTACATTCGGGATCTTAACGAAGTCCTTCTTCGGGTCATTAATTGACAATTCAGGAATAAAGACTACCGTCCGCTTAGGTATGAAGGTCATGGTGCCATTGTCGTTAAATGTAACATTATTATTCTCGAGGATTTCTCTGAAAAATTGAACGCACGTGTCTGCATTGTTTTGACAGACTAGAAATTGCTGATCAAGTATATTATGAAATAAGTGAGACATGCTTACTGATAGACATACGGGCCGATCTCTTGAACTTTCAGCTTCTCCTTGCCACTTAAAAACTCCACCGGGTTAGTGATGTTAAATATATATACATTTATGTAAATATCGACAGGCGGTTTCTGCCATATCCTGAAGAGGAACGAGTTTGGTCTCATTTCTATATTCTGCAAATATACCATAAGCTCGCTATATTTTTCACTCTTCAGTCTCAATTTGACTTTTTTACATACTTCTAAACCGCCACTTGGCAGTTTGCGAGTTGTCTCGCATCGCGACAAACTACTATAAGTTGGCGTTAAAACTTTGTGCGTTCGAGAACAATGCGATACCGCGAAGTATCACGGACGATGCATGCTGTTTTCAGATAAATTTCCTGAGATAAATTTCGCACAGGTTATCGCACTTTTGCTATTTCTCTCTTATTTATCACTTTGCTACATTTCGTCTGGGAGAACTGTGCTTTTAAAGGACAAGAATAAATTCGTTTCCTCAAACTAGAAAATTTTCTTTAATCGATGTTCTCCAAGAGGTCTACCGAACCGTTCTTTTCGCGCGCGCGTATCTTTCGTAATGCATGGACACTTACATATTCCATTATTATTTTTATAGGATCGACGATATAGATCACGTAAGCCAAGGAAGTGCACATGATGCCCGCTATAAACGAGATGATGCATTCTGAAAGCAGAAGGAGCGGGATTTTCTTTGACGAAAGGAATGGCGCACTACACAGAGAACGCGAAGAAATGTCCAGCTAATTCAACAATGTGAATTAATCGGTGCTTTCGCCCACGGAATCTCAAAATCTCAGCTCGTGTGACAGAATGGGGACGAAAACTCAGTGACAAGATACGACATCTCTGTTAACGCGAACGAAAACGTCCGTTTAAACATTCGCTTCGGTAAAAAATCAGCTGAGATAATTGAGAATAGAGGTACGAACCGAGCAGGAATCTCCTACGCGCAATTTTCGGCTCGTACAATCTGATTTTTTTTCCACTCGATGCTCCCGGGCAATAGAAAATTAGTCACACGAGCCGAGCTCTTTCTTCCGTGTATATATTCGTGCGCAATAGGCCTTTCGTGGCTTCCGTGCTTCTTGTCCGCTTCTGAAACAACATGCCTGTTGTTCAGCGCAACATTGTGAACGGTAAAATAACACGCTTAAGAATGTACGAGCCAAAGAAATTCATAAGACGCGTAAAAGTGTCTACGCGGAGGTGACATTTGTCGGACATGTACGGCATGCAAAAAATTACGATGAAATCACGATAACAATATGAGCGCGACTACGTCAATTATCGTGTGCTCATGTCTCGTATCAAAATGTGTCGAACGTGTCACTTTGTGTCAATGTGAGTGTTATTAATTATTTTTACAGCTCGACATGTTCATTGTACCCGACGTCGTACAATTATAAATCATTTGTAGTCGCTTCCTCGTTTTCTCGAAAAGAAGAAAGGATCGATCACTAAAGCGACGCTCGCATTTATTTATTCGTAGTTGCGCATATTTATTTATTCGGCGATGCACGTTTTCTGACTAACCGATCCATGTGCGAGATCGTGTCGCAGATTTATATTCTTAAGCTTAACAGATTCCAGTGGGCTATATTCATCATCTCGATTGCGAATCTCATTACGTGTGAACGAATGTGTGAGATAACTCCGGAATAATTTAAGATGTTAAAACACGTGTCGGCGAACGACGCGACTCGAAAGCGAGCGGATTTTGGCTCGTCCGAGGATCTTCAATCAAATTCCGAGAGCGGCGGTCTCGATAGATAAGCATGTGAACAGGTGAAAATTATCGGTATGCCCAACGCACGAAACGTACGACCAGTGTGCGACGTGTGACTTCGTTCAGACGCTTGAAATGTGTGTGTGTGTGTCCGCTCGGCGTCTCACTTTTATCTCTTAAATATTGAGACTCCGCTAAATCGCAAGACAAACAGAAGCACTCAACGTCAATTAATAGCTCCTCCTAATTCCTCGGCTAAATAACCGGCGACATAATGGACATTTCGAGCGCAGGTACATTAGCACGTACGAGCCGGCGCTCGAAAACGAGGGTCCTGAAGAAAAATATTGAACGTCTCTGCGTCGCAGCTGCGTTTAGCACACCTTGCGCTTCTTGTCGCGCGATGCAAAGCGAAATACTTTTCGGCACGTTTGCGCCCGCCTGTCATTCACCTTCGACTTCGACTGCGCCTGTTCCCACGCGAATAACTTAACTGAAGCGGAAATTGTATTCGGAATCCGGACATCGTAGTCGTCTTGTGCAAAGGCGATTTGTTTACTTCACACGACGATGACCTTCCCGCGCTCAAGATAACCGACGACTAGGTCGCGAGTCAGGTAGTTGCAAGAATTGAACTCGCGCTATTGCAAAACGTCCAGTGAGATATGACCGCCGGCTGTTAAATAATAGCGGAAGAACGCTATACCCGCGAGGACATATTGTGTCTATCAAACAACGAGAATCCTTGGAAATCATCTATCCGCAGGGTCGCACTCGCGAGCACGGCCTACCGCAAACATCCTTTCATTCTTATCCTTCTAAGAAGCGCGTTTTAAAAACACGTATTTCTGATTTACACTTGAAAACCCTACGCAACGCGCTCCTTGAACTTTGAGATGTTGTCCTCCTGCGCACGGCTCATCCTGCCTAACTTGCGAGTCACCGAACGAAGATGACTAAGCTGAAGTGCGCCTGCCTAAAATTTGCAATGGAAACTTCGCAATCGCTAGGAAGAGAGACTTTCCAAATGTTCAGAAAATACATCTTCATCGGAATAAGGATACACGCATCTCGTCGAGTATAGTTTCGAAGGAATTGTTATTTATAGCGAAAAACAAAGAGAGAGAGAGAGACAGAGAGAGAGAGAGAGAGAGAGAGAGAGAGAGAGAGAGAAAGAGAAATAATAGTACAAATATTATAGTATAAACGTGATAGAACAAATTTTGAAATATCTCTTTCGAAGAAAAAGAAACCGTCTGCCGCCGGTCTCATGTGTATCCTCGACGTCTTATCGTCGCATAAAATTAATCGCGCGCTTATATTTCAATACAATCGTCTTCATTCAGTCAACAATCGAAGAGTACTTTCGAGATAGAGACGTTTTCACGGTACAAGAAAAAAAAACTGATGTATGACATGCGAACGAAACTTCTCCTGATTCTCCGACGATCAGTCTGGAACAGGAATGAATCAAATTCGTAATTCGTAGGGTAAATCTTTCAGACATCCCGAATCGAGGTTCTGGCCATATTTTCGATCTGAACTGTCTAATAGATCCTAGAGAACCAATGAAGATTTCATTTACATACAAACTGAGGTCTCACTTACGCTGCAAAAAATATGTTATTTTTACGCGCTTATTAAGCATGCAACTGGCTAAAGTTTCTTTTATCGTCTCGTCTCGTCTTTTAATATCTTATTTAAATGATCTAAGAGAAGAAGAAAAAATTGAGAACCAAAAACTTTAGCCACTCTGATTGCACATTTATGCGTACAAAAACAACACGCTCGGATTAGCGCTCGGCGCAGCACCTTTGAATGGCAGAGAACGCGCTATTTTTACGCTCATACGTAGATTCGTAGATTCAAGAGCACCTCTCGGCGAAGCGGTGGATTAAATACAATCAAATCGATCAAATACAATGAGCTATCGATATCAGCTTGAGAGTGTTAAATTAGCGTGAGGTGGGATACACCGAGGTAGAAAGTAGGATCAAAAGTTTGACTCGGCGCCGCTCCTCGCGAGCGCTTCCCACGAGCTCTCTTCGGATACCTCCCCCCCCCCTCCGCCGCATTTTGCTGATCTCCGCTATCCGAAGTGTTTAAAATTCAGCTGGGTGCAGCGCGTGATTTCCACGCAATATGATCGCTTGATATGGTGCTATCAAGGCGTATAGATCACGCGTCCCGTGATATGACCTCTCGGTGGTAGATAGCGGCTTACCTTGGTTCGAATTCCAGATTATCTACAACAGAGTAATGAGAGAGACCAATCGAGGTCGGCGCGCTCGTTCGAAATCTTCGATTCGACAGACAGTACCATCAACATCACCATCGACAACGAAAGGCCGTATAACGATGACTGCTGATGCCTGCCGTATATTATCGAACGTTGCGCAGGCATAAAAAGGGTCCCCGTTTGTGCCCTTGACTTGGTCAGACTTTTAAGGCTCGACGGCACGTCGCGACCCGTAGTTTAATGCCCTTTCAAGAACGTAACCTTGAAAACACGTCAGCTCCGGTTACCCGTGAATTTTATATAATCGTGACTGAACCCCGCACACGTGACTGAAGCCGTTGCACGTCGCAATGAATTGGAATATCGCGTGCGAAGTCAGGTATTTCATTTCTTTAAGGACCAACGTCTCCGAACGGCCGCAGCCGGCCTTTTATCGGCCCGACTGAACCTTTCAATCGCGGCAAACGATCGGCATGACGTGACGTCAAGAATAAAATGTGCAATCGGCGTGCGGCAATTCGAGTGCGGAATTATCTGCCATAAAAATCAATTCAAGGCTCAAGGTGTGCTAGCGACGATGGCGACGGAATTCAGCGGGTGAGTTTTTACGACGGCGCGGTCGCGCCTCCGAAGGCTTTATCGGAGAAATTGTTGTTAAAACGTGCCAGTTAAAAATTTTGGTCGAATGGCTTGTCCGCGGATTGTTTGGCCATGCGAGTGCGATCTCAGCAACGTGATTAACGTGTGTAATATCTCACGTAACGAGCACGAACTCACACTCGCACGACTGGAGCGGCGTTAGTCAGCGCGAATTTATCTCTTAAGAGCCCACGCAAAACCCCCGGCTGTGACCGCAGGAGAGATGCCAGGTAGTTTTCGGGGGGGATCGCCCTCTCCATCTCCCTCGCCACCTGAACCTAGGATAGCGCGTCATAAATATGAGCTGTTATAGGAGAATTGAAAAAGTTTTGTCGCTTTATACGTTTGCTCGAAGAAACTCTTTCTCATTCGATTTGTGACAATTGATCGCTCCCTCTCTCCCTCTTATCGTCTCCTCTCATCTTCCGAACGATTGTACGCGTCTCGTGTTGCTGAAGTCCGCTTTTTATTGTTTTCGTCGCGACGTAAACGGCTTTCAGCCGTGAAAGACGTTCGCGAAAAACGCGATCTGCGTTAATTTGATTTTTTGTAACATATATTAAAATAGATTCTTGTTCTACTAAGATAGATTGCGCTTGCCTTAGTTATTTTTCACTCTCGATAAGCGACGCGTTTCAACGAGTTGAAATGAATTCAACTCGCTTGCTGCTGCATAAGTTAAAGAAATTTAGCATTTACTGCGTCTCTCGGATATACATACAAATGTATATGTATTCGTAAAAATATATGCAAATTATGAAGTATGAGATTATATACCGGTCGGATATATATATGATATTACTTGGAAAAAATTTGGTGCCTCTTCAATGACGCCGAGGCAATAATCATCATTGTAACTAGGTACGCGTATGCCTTCATTTCGCAAAACAGGAATTACTTACTCTTAAATTGCTGCAACGTAAGCGTAGTTTTCATGATTGCGACCTGATTCGCCTCGTTTTATCGTCAATTTTCCTCGTCTGGCCGCCTCGGCTGCGAGCAAAGCGAGCAAAGTCCTGGACCGAATACAAAATAATTCGATTATTACGCGAATTGTCATAATTGTGAGATCGACGATACGAATTTCGAGCAAGGGGACACTGCTTTTCCGCCGATTTTCGGCGAAAGTCCTCGCGCTTCGGAATAGTTATATTCGCGTGAGGATCGGTCATTGTTACGTGCACGTTTATTATTGTGTCGAAGAATTTATCCGAATTGTATACGAATTACTATAAATCAAAGAGATCGAGTCTCGATCCCGTTCGACTCGCCGCGGCTGGAGAAGCGTGGACATACGACCGCGCGTCATTGGTTCCTTGCAGAGTTAAACGCCGTCGCCGCGAGCTTATAAGTGCTATTAGCATGTTAGCTCTTGTTTGCACGTCGCACACAGAGAGCTTGATCTCTTATCGCGGTAAACTTCATGGACACTTTTCCACAGCTCCAGCGAGCTGACTTACCAGAGGAGGAATTATGTTACGAGGCTAAGTCTTGGAGATATATTATATATCGGGACTTGACGCGTAGTCAGTCAGCTATTTTCATCTAAATTGACATTATCTCGAAAACAAGACATATGTAATGACGAGAATATATTGTAAAAATGACCGATTCGCATGCATCGCACGATAAGAATTGCGTTAAATGACAATATAGATATTGCTATTTCGATTATGGTATATAAATCATATTTTTGCACGATAAACAAAATGTTATAAAATAAATCGATACTTTGAGAATTCACCTAATTGCGATGGTAACGACACCAGATTGTAAATAAAATTTGTGGAATGTCACACAATAAAAATTCGAATAAGTGTATCTAAAAGTAGGGAATTGTAAACAACACGTAGTGTGTGTGTGTGTGTAGAAACGACTAAGATCATTATAAATTCTTCATTACATTTTAATTGTACATTGCGCGAAAAATATAAACATTTGTTTAAATTTACGCTCATAAAATATAAAACAAGTAAAATAAAAAAAATAAAATAAAAAGTAAAATATAAAATAAAATATAATATAAAATAAAATATAAAATATAAATATAAAACAAGTAAAGTATAAAATAAGTTATAGAAACAAATACCACCAGGATTGCGGTGGATAATTTAAGGAAATTGTAAAATTTAAAGACATTACGAGACGAAAAGAGACATATATGTTTTACTAATAATGTCAATGCCCGGTAATGAGACAACTAATTGTTGATAATTAACTCATTACCAACAATATCTCCTTGAGTACAGATTTCACATGCGTAATAAAGCAAACGTAATTAGTTGCTCTACTTTTTCATTACTTTGGAAGCACATAATACGACTATGTATTATCGGCGGGAAAGGTCAACATTATCTAACTTACACATATTTCTCGTAGTATTTAATTTCTTATTTTTAAGCAGCAACCAGATAAGACGTTTTCAATCGTTGCCTCTTCGAAAATGCTTCTTTTCACTTTTTGCCAAGTTTCCTATAATCTTATCGGTATTGACGTACTTAACATCCCTTGCATACGATAAGCTTCGATAGAAACGAGTATTATGTACAGCACGAGACGCAAATGATACAATTTACTCAATCAGACGAAAAAAACATGCGCGTGTGAAAACTGCGACGTTTGAAAACTGCGACATTGAAGATTATTGGCAATTTTAATGATCGCGATTATATAATTTACTAAGTACGCATCAAATAGATAAATGAGATGGAGCACCATTAATAATATCAGCAAATTGTAACTCGCTCATAAAGGATCACTACCGCCGGCAGTGAATCTTGAATATGAAAATCTAACAATTTAGGAATGAATAGATGATAATCTGTTTAACTAAATCCATAATTAGCAACATAGACGTCTGTTCGCGCGGGTGACTTTATAACATTAATGTTTATCAATACTGTTCGTAGACAAATTCCTTTTCGTATTTATTTCGCTCGCTATTTTATACATCTTATTATTGTGCTAATAGATAATAAGTTTACCGTCTGAGGTAGAACTGCAAGCTGATAGCTCGGAACGGCACTTGTTCCGCGTTATTTACTATATATCTGTTTACGCGACAATAAGTAGACATTGTGCAGATATGGTCACGGCGTGTCTACCTTTGTATTTTTGAATATGTAAATGCGTCAGCTGTTATAAATATTAAAGTGTGTCACGCTTAGAGAGATTACTAACACGCTTTCTTTCTCCGTGGTCTTCTGCAGAATTTTGTTTTGCATCATCTCAATAGAGTCTGTGTTACGTATGTCACCACGAATGTCATCGCATGCTTATCAACGCGTGATTTTCAATTATCGCTATTTTGCGAGTTGATCGATTTATATCAGTAATGTATGATATATCCGTACAAAATGCGTTATTGCGCGAACTTACTCTTGCAATTAGTTTTTCAGCGATAAGGGTGCTCATGAAAGTTCACGGAAGCGTGTAAAAACAACGTCTGAAATATCGGCGCCAACAGAACCGTGTCGAGAGCCTGATTTACACGTTACAAGCCAAAGCTAACGGTAAAGCTGGTCCAGACCTTTCGAAACAGGCAAGTTTATGCAAATGTGCCCATGTAAAGTCACTTACGAAAAAGAAAAGAAGGAGGAAACGTAACGGCTTAATATTAATAATCATATTGCAAAACCAGTTCTGTCGATTGGCATAAATTTATAATTACAAGATTGTCGCCATGTTCGATTATTTCAATCTCCTTTATAAATAAAACTAATTTTAATGAACAAAAGTATTTTACCGCTCGACCTAGTGAATGACTGCCGGTCTCCGGGTTGTGTCACTATTTAAATATTTATATTTTCATACGAAATTCTCGAAGCCGCCTAACGTCTCTTCGTTTTTCCGAAACTTTTCAGCGTTACTTCAGCGTAGAGAGGGGCCGATTTTTAATTGGCTCCACGTGTCAAACAGGTTGATCTCACGCAATGCGCAGCTACGATTCGCTTTTTCTATCGAAGTTTACTTTCGAACACCGAAACTTCCAAGCGATCGGAAGACAATAATCTCGTTATGATAAAAGAAATTCTTATTCTTAGAATATAATAACCGAAAATAATAGAAGAAAATAATAGCCGACGGTGTCATATTCATTAACTGGCACATCCAATTGTCAACGGTTAAGTATAACTGTAATATGTGTGTATTTCTGAATAACAGAACACACATACTTCTCCATCTCATTGGCCGCGTTCCGATGAAAATTCCCATCATATTTTATACAGGCGATTTCAAGCACGACTCGATGTAAACGCATGTGGTGCAAATCGAGCAATATCGAACGCACGTAATCATTGCATTTGTAATACCCGAAAATATTTTTCTGTAAAGCCTTTTTTATTTCAATAGGACGATGCAATTTAATTTCGGCTCAATTGAATAATATGATAAATTAGACATATAAAATCTAACTAAAATCTAATAAGAGAATTAAATTAAAAAAAAAATTAAGGCCAACTAGTTTCTTTTTTTTTTAATTTGTCGTAACAAATTCTGTATTTGTGAAGAATCCGCTAGGACAACTTTTTCCGAAAGTCTCTTAAAGTTATTTTCTTCGAAAAAAGACCTTCTCACATCCTAGTCACATGCACTAAATAAACCAAACAATTGCAATAAATTATTAGGTGTCTCGGTTAATTTTGAGGGTTGGCGATGAATGGATATTGTTTATTATTTATCATTTACTGTTTAAATTGTTTCTATCAAAATATTTTCTATCGTTTTTATCCTTAGAGGCAGTCTCCATTCATCATCATCCCTCAAAATTAACCGAAACATCTAATATCATATCATCGTGAGTCTTAATAAAATTTAGTAAACCAATGTCAATCATGATAAAATCTATCTTACAAACGTAATCGTAACGTATTTCTATACATTACGATTAAAACACATAAATATGTATATATTCTTTCCTGCTCGTATAAAAATTCACAAAATGCACTTCTATACGAGCAAAAAAAAGCAAAGATAAACATTTGATATTATGGTCTGTTTTTCTCATTATGCATATCGTAGAAATTTCATTCAGGAATTACGGCGGTACATCAAGTGTCTCAACAAAATTAAGCACCTGTCGTTCGCTGTGAGGGATATAGCTCTTGGCCGACGAAATTCTGTAAACGAGGAGTCCCGAACGACGACGTCGTTCTCGCGCGTCAAAATCGAGAGCGATGTCACTTTTATTCACACACCGCTGCGCAATCGCGGACGAATGGAAAAACTGGAAAACGGACAGCCGAGAAATCCGAACAAACGAAACCACACACGCGGTGTAAGGCAGCGAAAACGCGCGGCTCCTTCGGTACCTTCGGGACTCTACCGACGGTACCGAAAATTTCGGGCAAACGGAACTCGAATGCGCCGGCCGATCGTGCCCTTTTGGCAAGATGCTGCTACTATTGGCACACTCTCCCTCTTTCTCAACTATACATATCAGTGCGTACGAGACTATGTGCGGCCTCCTTTATACCGTCGCCGGTTGGAGTGTAACCCCCCAACCGGGCGATCCTCCTCTTCGCTCCAGCGCAGCCTCCGGCTGCACCAGTCGCGCGGTTCCAGGCATCTCGTCTGGCGACGCATTGATAATTCGAGTCTTCAGAACCATCGCCGTGCGAGGGTTAAACGATGCTGACTAGCGGTGCACTCGGCGGATGCGCTTCATCTTGCATTTAGAAAAACTGGACTGTACGTCTCGAAACAAAGTGCAGCGCTCGGGGAAACGCATTTTCCGCGGGCATTTACGCGCCATTTTACCGATGACTAATGAGAGCCTTCGTCTTCCGACACACACAGATGATAGGACGACTGCTCACTCGGATACTTAGGTTACGAGACTTGAATTACCTTGATGTCGCCAAAGGATAAACAGAGATGTGTAATCTTTATCGTTAGGTCATCATCGTTATTAAATCGTAAGCGGTATCTCCGCA